AAGAATTGTGACATTCTCTAAAAATAAGAGGAGAATAAAGACAATGGAAAATAAGAGAGAGAGAGAGAGAGAGAGAGAGAGAGAGAGAGAGAACCGACGGACAGGGTGAGAAAAAGAGATTCCTATAAAAAATGAAAAAATTTTGATTTTACTTTAAAAGTTGTGAAGAAAGAGTGAAATGAGAAAGGTTTCGAAAATGTACATATACATAATTATTAATGTCTGTTTGTTTGTATACCGCATATAATTCATACAGTGATGGGAGAGTGAGCTAAGGAGGTGTTTTGTTTGTGAAAAAATTTTTATATTCGCTATAAATAATATTAAGTATATAATTATACACAATGAGAGAAATAGGAGAGAGAAATTTGATTAGAAATGATGAATGGTTGAGTGATTGTTTTAAAAAGATACAAATTTGATTCGATTTGCTAAACGATTTATTTTTACAAATCTCGCAGAGTTATGTCAATTTGTCTTTTCTTACACTCAACGAGAAACGTACATTTTACAATTTGAACTTACATACATCACTTCTGGATGACCATATGTATATAATAATAAAAAAGAAATTATAAAAAGAAATAAAAAATTTAAGCTGAATGTGGAACAATAATAATACCTAAATATATTAAATAATAATAATACCTAAATAAAATTTATATTCATATAACTGTATTAAATCAATAAAGAAATAAATTCTATAATTACAAAATTTACTAACTATTAAATTCACTAGTTTTCGTAGTCCGCTTGACCAATTAATATCTTTCAATTAATTAAGGTTTTCAGTTGAGATAACATAAAAACTTGAAAAATGGCAAAAAGGTGGGGTTGAGATGGGAAGTTAGTGTCCGAGTGGATCGAAGTCACGATAGCTCAAGTGATCGAGCAGCGGCGTATCTAGCCGAAGGTCGTGGGTTCGAATCCCGCTCGGCCCTTGACTTTTTTATCTCAACTAAAAACCTTAATTAATTTACTAACCATGTTATACATTACATACATATAAAATTACATTTTCATCGCCTCATTAGAAACTGTAATAACTCCATTAAGAAACAAATTCCTGAAAAGAGGTTACAAATTTGTGCAAAATAACATAAAGTACACTATAATAGTTGGAATACTTGATGTAATAAATTCGCTTATTAATCATTCTTTATTAGTAGAGAGAGAGAGAGAGAGAGAGAGAGAGAGAGAGAGAGAGAGAGAGAGAGAGAGAGAGAGAGCGCGAGAGAGGGAAAGGCGAAAGAGAGAATGAGAGTGAGAGAGAGAGAGAGAGAGAGAGAGAGAGAGAGAGAGAGAGAGAGAGAGAGAGAGAGAGAGAGAGAGAGAGCGCGAGAGAGGGAAAGGCGAAAGAGAGAATGAGAGTGAGAGGGAGAGAGAGAGAAAGAGGGGGGAAGAGAGAGAGGGAGTGAGGATAAAGAGGGAGGGAGAGGGAGAAAGAGTGAGAGGGAGGGAAAGGGAGAGTGTGAGAGGGAGGCAGAGAGGTTGATTTGATTTGAAACGGTTGGTTTAGAAAACTTATTAAGAGAGTGAGAGAGAGCGAAAAAGTCCTGAGATTGTCCGATTTCCCCATTAATCACCACACCTTATAGGTACAAAAATATAAATTGAAAATACAATATCTAAAATAATAATCTAAAAATTGAGTAAAATGTATGAATTGAAAGGGTGGTGTTTGTGAGCGAACGTGAGAGAAAGATGGAAACCAATTAGAAAAAAATAAGAACAAATTTCGTTAACTCTAGCTAAGGGATACGGCATTTGCTGATACTAAACCTTCATGACCCAAGCAAAATGCATGGTTTAATCTACGTACAACAGCCGTGAAAACAATTTTTCTAAGGATGCTATTTTTTAAGACAACGCGAAAATAGTGAGTGTGAGAGGAGTGAAGACAAGAAAGAGACCAAGCGAGTGATTAAGTAAGTAGAAAGAGGCTTGTGTGAAGCCCAATAAATTATTTAAAGATCACCTTATGTTTAATTAAAATTAACAGACGCATACATTTCGTTTCAGTTGGTTAAAGCGCGAGTTCGCTCTTACTGTCTTTCCGTAGGCCGCAGAGCACGACGAGTGCTTCGCACAATTCTCCGCGTCTGTATTGAATAGGATGGAAAGTTTGTTTTGAAACTCTCCTCGAAATCTTGCTGCAAATCTACATCAACGACGAACAAAGCCTCTCTTCGCCCTTTCGTCCCAAACGGCTATAAATTCTCTAAATCGGAATGGTTTAAGGTTCAATTAATAAACCGTCGTCTGAATGATTCACTTCGTTACAAATCTGCCGGAAATAATATGTTATCACGTCTGTCTTAATATCACATTAAGAGCATAATTGTTGTTATCTTTAATATAAGTAACTTTTCTCTTATCGTTTTACTTTTACTGTAACTGCTAGGTTTCAAAGTAGTTTTCCTTGGTGAAGTTTAATCTAAGAGTTAGAATTGAAGATGTCTCGACTCTCGCAATTTCAAGAAGACAAAACGGCCTATTTTTCATGCCTGTAAAACAATTTTGACCGTGTCACAGACAAAATCTAAAATAAATAAGAATTTTCCTTTGTAACAAAGAAAACTACTTCAATTCTACCTACATAAATATTACAAAAGAGAAAGTAATAAAAATGACTTTGGATTGTCAAAATGTTTATATTTCTTATTAATTGACGCAATATAAAATATAAACAGATCCCCTTATTAAGTGTTTCAAAGAATTTCATCTTTTTATTGTGAGCTTCTAGAAAGTTCATCCCTTAATTTACGCTTATTTAATTATATCAGTTTAGATCACAACAAGGGAAATTAATTGCTAAATGAAAAAAAAAATCGTGATAATGAAGCTGGAGCTTAGAACAAATGATTCTGCCGATTAATACCTTTGGTCAGTTGACTATTTATATCAATTATTTCTATTTATATATTTATGTTTTAGTGGTCAATTGACCAAGTTACTTCTTTCAATTAATTATTCTTTCAATGTAAGGTCTTGGTTGAGATAAAATTAATTATATTTATATATTTATTCAGATTCATTTTTTCATTCACAGAATATTGTTTATAACTGTATACATATATGAAAGAACAATTTTTAATTTGTATAGTTCTATACAAGATATAAATTAAAAATAGACTTGTTAATTTTTATTTATTTATTTTTTTTTGGGGGGGGTGAGAAAACAGCTTTTAGTAAAAGAAAATGTTACAAATTCAATTATGTAGGAGCGAAATATACTTAAATTTAAGTTTGCCGGTTTTTTTTCACATTCAATCAGTTTATAATCTCACTGATGGATTTTTACCTTTTTTAATATTATTAATAACTCGATCAGGTTTCGTGGTCCGATTGACCAAATAAATTCTTTTCAATTAATTAATCTTTCAGTAAGGTATTGGTTGAGATAAAAAAAGTCAGAGTCACGAGCGGGATTCGAACCCACGACCTTCGGCTAAATACGCCGCTACTCCACCACTTGAGCTATCGCGACTTCTATCGTGAAGTGGTAGAGTAGCGGCGTATTTAGCCGAAGGTCGTGGGTTCGAATCCTGCTCGTGACACTGGCTTTTTTATCTCAACCAATACCTTACTGAAAGATTAATTAATTGAAAAGAAATTATTAATAACCATTAGCCAAGTTTTATTTCGTTCTATTTTGGTCATAATGAGAACGAAATTTCTCTTCTCTGAAAAANCATGACCTTCGGCTAAATACGCCGCTACTCCACCACTTGAGCTATCGTGAAGTGGTAGAGTAGCGGCGTATTTAGCCGAAGGTCGTAGGTTCGAATCCTGCTCGTGACACTGGCTTTTTTATCTCAACCAATACCTTACTGAAAGATTATATAATTGAAAAGAAATTATTAACAACCAATAGCCAAATTTTATTTCGTTCTATTTTGCTCATAATGAGAACGCAATTTCTCTTCTCTGTAAAAAAAAAAAACATGAAAATTCGTAAATAATAGGTCCATATTTGACCAGAAAGGTCGAGCAAGTATATGATACTCTTTTCCGATAAGTCTAATTATTCGCCGGATCCAAAGGAAAGTGTATTTTTAATTTGTAAAGCAAGAACGGTTGAACCATGCTATAATAAATTCATGATAAATTCTACACCGCCAGGACAAATGAAACAATAACTTCAAGAAATATTGACATTCCTACCTTCTAATACATTTTGCTTGTAATTAATTAAGTAACTATGGTTGTAATTAAATGTTCTTTTTTTTTGTAATAAACAAACGGTGATTTCGATTGACCTACAGTAATTTAAAGTTTAATCAAGCCCCTGTGTGTCAATTAACCCTTCCCACAGACTTTATCCTGTATCAATATCCTCCGATCTTGATTTATTCGGTCCCGTTTGGAACCGACTCCCAAGGAGAAAATTACTGGATTGCGTTTACAATAAGATTCGGCATAATCTTTGCCTTTGTCACATACTCGGCCCTTTTTTACGTCTACCTCGGCCAGAGATGGCAAATCAGATAAATGAAACCTGGCGTAAAAATAACCAGTAAGGTATCTTAGTAGTACGTATATCTGGGGTGTTATTTCGTTTCATCTTGCCGCAATATTCTTGAAGCTTTTATTTACCTGTGTGGTGTTTAGTGATCGTTAATCATTAATTTATTTGGATCGTTAATTAATTATTTGGACACTGTGAGATGCGGTCTGGTGTGACGTACGTTTTCGAAAAATATTTTCTTTATCGTGCCAACGTTTCGATGTTTATTGAGATCATCTTCAGTGCACGAAGTGTTTGTTTTTCGGGTAGATGCCCCGGGCATTCTCAACACGACAGACAAAAATGACATATCTACTCGGAAAACAAACACTTTGAGCCCTGAAGATGATTTCAATAAAGATCGAAACATTGGCACGATAAAGAAAATGTTTTTCTAAAACATACGTCACAACAGACCGCATCTAACGATCTTAATAATCTTTTATTTATCATATAAATTTGTTTTTTAACTGTCTACATATTATTTCAGACCGACTACGGACGTCATTTGGACTTACTCAGCCAGCAGATTGAGAATGTCGTTTTCTCCACGGCGCAAAAGAAGTTATCCGATCGAAAGGTGGAAGAAGCGTGCCAGCTTCTCGACTCCTGGTACAAATACGTGTTATCCTCCCATATCGGTGAGTAAAATACTTTGAAAGTCAATAAATAGTTCAGTATAATCATAATGTGAGAAGTTTAGGGACCGTCAAGTAGGTCATCGCCGACCCTCTGCGTGTTGTACTTCTTTTCCTAGTCTTTCTCGCGTATTTTTCCACGTTCGGCCATTTGAGCGTTTCGATCTAACTCTGACTCTCTGCTTTTGTTGTTGTACGAAAGTTGATATCCTAAAATCCTAGCCTCCCTTTTATATTTCAGATTGTTAACTACAGAATAATCAGTAAACATGCAATACATATATATCATAACCACCCTATAAACAATATATTACCATAGAAGCTGGTTATATTCACTCCACCCCCTCATCCCTCCAGTTGGTCCCTCATTCCACCCCTCCGAATATTTGATATGCCTCAGGACGAGGTTAAACCTACTCCATTCTCGCTAATAACTGACTTTTACCCTCCATACGTCACACCCTCACTCCAGAGTACTCGATATTCCTCGGGGCGGGGTTAAACAATCATTTCTTTCACGCTAATACATTACATTCATTACAATAAATAAACATGAACTCAACACGGACACCCAACAAAAAAACAACTCTTGCATAACAGACACCTACGCGGTCGCTTTCTGGCCAGAAGATACCGTGAGTTGTTCTTGTATGTCCTATGCGTAGTATTGCAAGTACGCCTTTTCCCTTTTCGACCCGTTTTCATTGGACTGATGTCTTTCTTAACCTGCCACAGTTTGTCAGGTGTTATTTATATTTTTACGAGCCCAGCGGTTTTTCCGTTCTCCTTTATAGTACAGTATATTTTTGAAAAATATTTTTTTACCGTTTTAATTGTGTACTTGACTGCTTTGTATGTTTTTGCCGTCCGTTCTACTAGAAAGTGCTTTAAAACTTGAAGTTTCAACTTTTTGTACGTAATGTAGAAAGTTTAATCGTATTTGCAACATGTCCAGCTACAACGCTGCGTAAAACTTCGGATGAAAAGTTTCCAAGAGTTTAGAAATAGGTCCTGTGTAGTATAAACTAAACAAATGTGTTGCCTAATTTGATGAAATATTTTAGCTTGTGACACATTTATTGAGAATTGACCGTTTTACGACATCCAAAATCCTTGGCTCTTAATTGCAATAAAACATTCAAATGTATGAGCGAAGGAGAAACCACCGAAGGACTATTGACCCATTCTGATACTTTCCTTAATATCATATATATATAATAGTGGTAGTTAGATTATTTTTATTTACTACCTTAATGTGTGTGTGAGAATGTGTTTTCCCATCCTTCTTGCCATGTATATCTTCTTTTATTTCTTCGATTGTGAAAGAGATGTCTTCGGGTGTTCCTGGTTTATCGAAGTACACTTTGTCTTGTGCTGATGCGCTTTGCTCTGCCGGGATCCAGTTATGCATAATTATTTCCAACTTGATTTTAAGTCGGTGTAAAGGATCCGTGGTTTTTCAATTGTAGCCAGTTTTATGGGTGACCGAAGCTTTCCTGCTGCCTAGACTTCTGTCCATGGAGTCATCCCACCTGTGGCATTGCAGTAAGCTTTCCACTTTGGGGTAATCACTTTTCCTTAGCTTGCGTAATTCCTCATTACCGTTCGTCGGTATTTCCTTCTTAGTTTTGTCTCAGTTTATGTCTGCAGTCGGATAGTTCTTTGGACCACCAAGGGGTACTTCTATTCTGATTAATACGGTTTGTTTTTGTGTATTTTGGTATGTTTTTATCACATGTTGTGGTTAATAAGCGTATAACTTCATCTGTCGTCTGGTTCCAGTTGTCGCTGTTCTTGATGCATTGTGACAGTTGTTTGTCTATTTCCTTTTTATCCATGCCTTGAGGTAAACCGGTGAGAGTTGTTATAGCAGCTAACAAACCTCTTTCAACCTCTAGCCAATTTGCTTCATTTATTTAACAAAGTTGACCATTATCCATTTTGGTAACAGTTAGAAAGCTCGGTCGCTTAATTGATATGTGAACATTCTATGGTCAAATCCACTTTCAGCATCATGTTTATGCCATGTATGCACTCTAGTGATCATGTCGGTGCTTGGTATAGTCAGGTCTATGTTACTTTTTCCCTGGCTGTTCTCAAATGTTGGATTCCTGTCGACTCCATTAATGATTATCAATGATTTTTCTGCCAGATACTACTCCAAGGTTTTACCTCTTTGATTTGTCAAATGATCAAACCAAGCCGTAGAACGCGCATTGCTATCCTACTGGTACTTTATTGTTTAGAATTGTATCCAATGCGGCAGTTATTTTCCCATGATCCTCTTCAATGTCATGTGTGTGTGTGCGCGCGCGCATGCGTGTCATTTCAAATTCTTGTTAATTTTTTTTTAATTGAATTACGGGCTAAATGTATTTTATATTAGCGTACGCTCAACCCTTTATTCCCATCACAGAAAAAATATCGTATTTTATGATCAGATTATTCACTGGATCCAATCGAATAGTGTGCTTTTAATTAGTAAAGCAAACTCACCGGATGAGCAATGCCATTTTCATTTGTATGAATTTATTTTTTGTATAAAAGTCAAGGGGTTAAGGGTTGAGAAAGATATACAAACCTCGCGCTCGCGTATTTTCTCTGCTTCCCAGAAAAAAATTAAAATCATGGATATGTCCCTAAGCTAACCCTACCTAATGTAAGCCATCCCTAACCTTAACCCTACCTACTCTAATCCGTCCCCAACCCTTTTAACAACTTCTTCTGTATAAATATTTATTTTAATTGTACACCATGAAAATATGATTTGATTCAGAGAAAAGATTTTATCTTGCCCCGTGTATTTCTGGTGTTGAAATTTCAATTATCTGGTTTCAATATTTTACGAAGTTTTTCCAGCCAAAGATAATAATGAGGCGACTTAAAACTATATACTGTAGCAAATGTATGTCACATCATTGTTATCTTTGGAAGAAAAAACTCCATAAAATATTAAAACCTGAGACATAATTCTTGCTGCATAGTGCATAATTTATGTACATAAAGTATTCACAATGGCCTAATTAATTCGTGAGTTATATTTTGCAAGCATATCCGGTGTAGTTTAATAAATAACAGTTCTAATTGATGTTCATTCGAGTTTAATTAGATTTCAGTCCAGACGGTCGGATAACACGTTTTATCGAATTGGGCCGTTGTCCGTCATAAATGCTTAATTCTAAATTAGCAATTAGCCGGCCTAAGATTGACGTCGCATGCATTATACGCCTGTTTAATCATTGGCCCAATTACCTCCAGCCGACGTCATTAGGAGTGTAAATTCTGCCCTGAACGGCCGCCGGCATGCAACATGGGCTGGCTGCGAATGTGACTTTTAAACTTTAAAAGCCGGGTTTACTTGTTGAAACAACAGGGAAAATTGCGTTTCTACCCGGTACGGTCTCACTTCTCATTTCACAATTTGCAGTTTGTGGGAGCAAACATACACATAAAGTCCTACTTAAGAATACATAGTGGGGGGAGTCCGTTTGCCCAACGTACGATTTTTTATTTTTGAACTTTGTTACAGCATTTGTTGCTGTTCATAAAAAAAAATTAATTGGAACCCTCCCCAACGCAGAAATCACAAGTGATGTTTAATTTTTTTAAAGTTATTCTGACTTGTTAATATTAAAAAAGTAATATTACTACATTAAAAAATTACTTTTCTAATAAAATTCCAGCATAACATAATGTTATCGGAAAGGTAATCAGGGGATGACATATGAAATCAATTTTCAAAATTATTATCACCATAGTGTTACTTTGTTGTTTTACAAAGTTCGTAATATTGCATTATAAAAGGGGAGAAATAATCCATCAATTACACTCATATCACTGCATATCATACACTTTTATTATATAAGATAAATACCCTTGATTGCATAGAATGTATGCAGCATGAAATAACTACTGTTCGGCTACTCGTGGTACAAACTTTGCCCGTAGATTCTACATTTAAAATGGAACAGAAATTCCTAATTAACTATGGTCCGAATCTCATCAGTTTCGGAGTTATTCCACTTTTTCTGGTTTTTTAAGATTTTACGAACTTGCTTCAAATAAGCTCCAAAACTAAAAGGTTTTGGACAAATCCGTTGATACCTCTGAAAACTACATTAAATGAGATGTGATCAATACTAAACTTGTAAACGTTCGTGAAATAAGTGTTTTAGTAGCGAGAACTTTGAATTTTTTTTCAAAGTTGGAAAACTTACTATGGTGATTCTAAACTACTATTTCCAGACCTAGAGACCAGCAAATTTCAGAAAACATACTCCATTTAATATCATTTTTAGTGGTGTAATTGCTTTCTTAATTACTTTTTTCAAAGATGAAGAAATTGATGGAGAAAAGGAAAAAACCGTGGCTGACGGATTAGCGTGGTGGAAAGTTTAAAAAAAATACCTAAGGAAATTTTGAATGAATTTATTAAACTTTTTTTAAATTTGGGTTCGAAACCGAAATAGTGCAAGTGACTTATTTACCAACTTTGATTAAAAAATTCTTGTGTTATTATTCTCCGGAATAAAAGAGTTTTACGATTCACAACGTTTTTCTTTATCTATGTGATATCTTATTAACAATATGGCTACTTTTTCTAATGGAGAATACGCTTATGTACGGGTTTTGCGGGTTTAATGAGAATGCATTGCAGAGGGTGGAGAGCATTTCGAATCAAAATTTAAAAGTTCAAAAAATTCATTCATATATCCTTAAGCTTTTTTATTTTTGATTATTATTAATCTTTCCACTTTACCAATCCTTCAACCACGGTTTATTTTTCCTTCATCAATTTTTTCATCTTTGAAAACAGTAATTAAAAAAGCAATTGCACCACTAAAAAGGATATGAAATGTACGTTTTCTGAAATTTGCTGGTCTCTAGGTTTGGAAATTGTAGTTTAGATCACCATAATGTTTTTCAACTTTGAAAAAAAATTTTTTTTCAAAATTCTCACTACTAAAACGCTTATTTCACGAACGTTTACGAGTTTAGTATTGATAACATTTTATTGGAAATTTAACGAAGTTTTCAATGGTATCAACGGATTTGTCCAAAATCTTTTATTTTTGGTGTTATCATTGTTTATTTGAAGCAAGGTGGTGAAATCTTAAAAAATCGGAAAAAGTGAACTCAGAAACTGTTGAGATTAGGACCATAGTTAATTAGAACTTTTTGGTTCCTTTTTGAATGTAGAATCTACTGGCAAAGTTTGTAACACGAGTTACCGATCTGGTTGAGACAAAACGGTTTTTCGCACTTCGGGGCGAATTACATAAATTATAAATTTGAGCTAGAGAAGGATTTTCATGTTGAATTGTGCTCGTTTTGCAATTTCAACGTTCAAGAAGACTCTTATGAATTCTGACTTCTTAAGTGTATGTCACAGCTCTGGGATGTAAGAGGCACTTACACAGGAAAGACATTCTCTCCTTTTTAACTAGGCGGACTGATGATCCTTTAATTAATTATGCCCGAAACGCCTTGAGAGCGAAATTGTTGTCAGATATGCAAAGTTCCCGCATAATTTTTTGCATTCAAATTAAAAGTAAGCTGTAAATATCGCATTTCTACGCAAAAAACTTAATAATCCGTACATACTCCACAATATTATTAGGTCCTTTGACTACATAAGAAAGCTTGTTTCCTTCCTTTCCTCAACTTTTAAGTTTACAGTTTGCGATAATGATCGCATAAGACAGAGTATTCTTTATTTTTACAATTATCCCTAAATTCTTTTTATTAGTACCATTATTTCTATATTTTATATATTGAATTATGTGCTTTAGGTCGATTTCTTTCACTGTATATTAACGTCAAACGTTCATTAATTGGAGTGCAGAATTCCTCTAAAAAGGAAAAACATTTTGTTACCTTATTGTTGTTCTTAGGGGACTCTAGTCCCGGAATAAAGTATTTCTCTCTCTTTCATTCGTTTAATTTATTATCTGTCTCTCCCTCTCTTTCTCTGTTTATCGCTCTCTCTCTCTCTCTCTCTCTCTCTCTCTCTCTCTCTCTCTCTCTCTCTCTCTCTCCCACTCTCCCTCCCCCTTTCTCTCCCACTCACCCTTTCTCACTCTCCCCCTTTCTCTCCCACTCACCCTTTCTCACTCTCCCCTCCCCTCTCTCCCTCTCCATTTCTCTCTCTCCCTCCCCCTTTCTCTCTCTCACCTNCTCTCTCTCTCTCTCTCTCTCTCTCTCTCTCTCTCTCTCTCTCTCTCTCTCTCTCTCTCGCTCCCTCTCCCTCTGTAAGAGTGGTTTATGTAAACCTAAATTGGCGAGAATAAATAAATCATTAATCAATCTCCCTCCCTCTTTCTCTCTCTCTTTCTCACTCCCTCTCTCTCTCACTCTCTCCCTCCCTCCCTCCTTCCCTCTCTCTTTCTCTTGTTGTTCTCATAGGTTGGTCTTCAATATTTCGTTCATTCCTATATCGATGTCAAGAGTTGTACATTATCCAGTACTTGAGGACATTTTATAAATTAAGTTAGCGACTATATTGTGTTTTCTATTATAGAATAATTTCACTAAAAACATTGTTTAACAAATGTATTTAACGTAATATAATAAATCGTTTGTTTTTATGAGAAAAATGGTCGGATCGAAGCCGTTTCCAAGAGCCATGCTGGCCACGTGCCCTTTAAACGGCCATCTAGCAAAAATCCCGGCCATTATTGGATTTACCGCGCAGATGTTCCGATAATGTGATGTAGGCATGATGTTCGTAACTGTCTCGTGCAGAATTTCGAAAAAGCGTTTTGTACGCAAGATTTTTTTTTTAAATTTAATGGTGCCGGTGAAGTGGGTGTAGAGGATTCAGTTTTATTTGGAGGTTTTTTTTCCGCCCATGTGGAAGACAAATGACGGGCATCGACAACGGTCGTTGCCCCTATACGATAAATCGTTGTATTAACCTGGGAAAAAAATATTCAAATCCATCTCTGAATTATACAAGTAAATAGTTTAAATAACTTGGAAATAAACTCCCTGTGACAGAAAAATAGAATCGAAAGAAAAAACTGATAAAGAAGTTTAAAACCTTCTGCTTAAGCGAAAGTGATAAGCTAGATAATGGATTAATCCTTCTTAATTAAAATGGGTCAATAATTCCATTTTCATTGTATTAAAAGGACAAAAGTAATTGAAACTTACTTTCAATCTACATAATCTCATTCAATTTTCATACTTTTGGAATTTCGCCTCTCTGACTTTCTCAGTTTGACTTTTGAATTTTTAAAAAGCGGTCGAGTGTGTCCAGCTCTGAATAGTGCAGTTGTAAACCGTCCGAAAGGAAATTCCTTGGTGACGAGAGTTTGCCCGTGATATTCGAATGTCAGAATGCGGCAGGTAATGTCGGAAACGTTAACCGAGAACTGAAAGCTGTTTGCCAACTAGTCAGAACAATCTGTTTCAAGATTGTGGTTCGAGTCAACTCACCAGTCCAAATTGCCTTACTTTCTTCGGCTAGCCGGCAACCCCGGGGCAAGAATTTCATCCAATTTGTCTCTTTATAGGTGACGCCCAGGAGATGACGCTTGTCAAAGCGCAGGCAGCGTTTAATCAAAGGGTGGGATTGATCTCGGAAATCCTATCAAAACTGCCGCCGAAAAATGGCAAAGTTCTCAATGCTAAGTTGAACGCTCTTAAGAAAAACGTGGCTGCCAACGGGCTCAAAGCTGGAGGGTCTTTTGAGTGGGTCGACAGCGTTCTTGTAAAGGTAAGTAAAAAAACCTGTTTTTTTTAAATCATAATGATGGAATGTTTACAAAAACGTTCTATTTCTTGCCAATCATTTCTCCACTAACCTAAACTTCACCGATCGTTAATAACTTTTTTCAAAGAATTATTAAAAAGCATTTAAGTAAATATCAATAACTTGAAAAAAAAAATATATATATATAAAACATAAAAATAAATAAGTACTGATCTAAAGATTTTTTCTGCGGATCTGTGCTCTTTTTTGGTGGAATTCCATCATCAAAGGTTGAATATCAATGAAGTATAAGTAAAAAATCCTGATTTTTTTATCATGATGATGAAATATTACAAAAACGTTCTATCTCTTGTCAATCATTTCTACAATACCTGAAACTTCACCGATGTTCATAATTTTTTCGACAGCGTTCTTGTAAAGGTAAGTAAAAAATCCTGATTTTTTAAAATCATAATGATGAAATGTTTACAAAAACGTTCTATTTCTTGCCAATCATTTCTCCACTAACCTAAACTTCACCGATCGTTAATAATTTTTTTTCAAAGAATTATTAAAAAGCATTTACGTAAATCAATAACATAATATATAAATNGTATGTATTATGTTATTGATTTACTTAAATGCTGTTTAATAATTCTTTGTAAAAAAATTATTAACGCTGTCGAAAAAATTATGAAGATCGGTGAAGTTTCAGGTATTGTAGAAATGATTGACAAGAAATAGAACGTTTTTGTAATATTTCATCATCATGATAAAAAAAATCAGGATTATGTATATATATATGACATAAAAATAAATAAATACTGATCTAAAGATTTTTTCTGCGGTTCTGTGTACTTTTTTGGTGGAATTCCATCATCAAAGGTTGAATATCAATGAAGTGTAAGTAAAAAAAACCTGATTTTTTTATCATGATGATGAAATATTACAAAAACGTTCTATTTCTTGTCAATCATTTCTCCACTAACCTAAACTTCACCGATCGTTAATAATTTTTTCCCAAAGAATTATTAAAAAGCATTTAAGTATAAGGAATTCCCTCGTCAAAGGTTGAATATCAATGAGGTGTAAGTAAAAAAATCCTGATTTTTTATCATGATGATGAAATATTTCAAAACCGTTGTATTTCTTGTCATTCATTTCTCCATTACCCGAAACTTCACCGATCTTCATAATTTTTTTTCAAAGAATTATTAAAAAGCATTTAAGTAAATATCAGAAACTTAGAAAAAAAATCCTAATTGTGTTTATCACTAAAAAAAATGTTAACCTACTTTGCCAGAAACGTCTTTTGGTTTTTCGTCACTTTTCATATCTTTAATCTCATTTAATAAGATCGTATATTTTATTTCTTAATTCTAGACATAAAAACAAATAAACTGATTTAAACCTTAAAAAACATGCATAATGTTTCCATTAAAAAAAAAACAACTATAAAATTGTACTTTATATTATGAAATTATAAAGCAAATAATATAAAATGATCGTAAAAATTTAATTGGAATAGTGAAATAATAGAAAAAATAGAACACATTTCATCCCAAATTGCTGATTTTTGTTCTCCATTACATTTCCACCCTTATCTGGTAAATTTTTCTATACGAAACCCTCAATGGCTTGGATTCCCAATGTTGTTAGTAGCGTGTGTGTCGTCCGCATTTGGGTTTGTTACATTGTAAACCAATTGGAGGGTGTTAAGGGTAGATTAAAAACCCGCATCGCAACCCAGTGTTGCTTGTTTAGTAGGATAAATTGCCGTCATGACGATGCATGATCAATGGGGGTCTCATTAATCCATGTAATCCCTTATCTAATCAATCAATCAAAAATTTGAAATCAGCTTGGCCAAGTTTAAACAACATTGTCGTCATTATTTACATATTTTATTTTAATTGTTGGATATAAAAAAATCTGTATTTTAAATCTCACCAATGGATTTATATGGCGTGAGGTATTATGTTTAATTAAATTCAATTTTTCTATATAGAACTTAATAAATACAAATAGAAGATAGTTAAAGAAATAGAATTAGTAGAATAGTATAAGAATAGTGAAAATAGGAATACTAGAAATAAGAATAACAGTATAAACAGAACCCTCCTCTCCAAAAAAGTGAATCAACATACTCAATTATTTATATTAAAGAAATATAATGGTTTATTGAAGATACTCTATTTTTTCTGTTTTATTTTAGATGTATTTTAGGCAGTACATAATCTTTCACTCAACTGATGGTGGTTTGGCCATATGGTTTGAAAATAATAAAAGTTTGAAAGAGATATTATTTAATTGTTATAGTTAAAACAGTTTACAACTCTCAATATATAAAAAGCAGTCGTCTAAAAGAAATTATAAACACAAAAAAAGAATTTACATTGACAGATATTCTTGCACCCTTTGCATTATCAGGGTTTTTGAATTATATAAGGAATGTCGGCTTAACCACCGTCAGCTTAGGAGGAATTACTGAACAGCTGGAAATGTATTGAAAATAAAATTTTAAAATGTACAAGTGTACTTCAAGAAACCAACATTGTTCATGGTTGAAAAAAAAGAACCACTCTTGTGCGAGGTTCCACATAAAAATTCATAACAACTCTGGATTATATCCAAATGAAACTTTATTAGAACTTATATAAAGCTAGAGTATTCTACTTTCAGGCTATGTTATCATAGTTTAGCTTTTGCATTACTAAAATTGCAAAAAGAAGGATGAAATAAAAAAAACACACCTAACACTTATACAATCTTTGAGACTATATTTTTAATTATCCATTATATTTAGTGGTCTGTTGACCAAATTATTTCTTTCATTTAATTAATATTTTTTATGTAAGGTTTTGGTCGAAATGAAAAAGTTTGTACCACGAGTGGGATTCGAACCCACGACCTTCAGCTTAATACGCCTCTGCTCTACCACTAGAGCTATTGTGACTTCGATATGTGGTTGAGCAGCGGTATATTAAGCCGAAGGTCGTGGGTTCGAATCCTGCTCGTGGCACTAACTTTTTCATTTCGACCAAAACCTTACATAAAAAAGATTAATTTTTAATTATGTTTTTTGCCTTTCTTGCGCATGTAATTCAGCATAGTTACATATCAATCATTTTTTTAAGATAGAATAATAAAATAATATGCAAAATTGATAAGATACAAAAAAAGTTACAAAAACTAAAAAAGCTTTCAGTAGATCAAAAAAATTCTTTTTTGAAAAAATCAATTTGGATTCTTTTTAAGCACTGTATAAACCTTCAAATACAAATTTTCATAGTATTTCAAAAATAAAAATATTTGTATTTTTTTTCTCTCTAGCCGATCAGGTGTTCCATTTAATAATTCATTACTCCTCTTGAATTTATCCAAATTATTACAACCTTTGGAAAGCTGGATTTCTCCTCTTTAATACTATACCAACACAGTGTAGCTTTTACCTTGTAAGAACTACCCAAATAAGAAAAGTAAGGATAAATCAGCCAAAACACATCAAACATTTTATTTTATATCTCCAGTTATAATTTTTTTCAGAGGCCAAGTATCTGCCATTACATGCAGTTTACAAAGATCTAAACATCTGTAAAGTTTTCTGTAAATCGGTGAAATATTTTTAATTATCCCCACCTTAGTTACCATAATAAATTTTTGTGATTTTCTAAAAAAAAAGAAAAAAAATCGTTTTTATCAGAGGTATTTCATTTGGATGGGGAAAAAGTTTGAGATAAAAATTTTACTTTTTGATTTTTCCAGTAATTTGTATTCAGGGTGCAAAAACGAATATAAACTTTTTTCTTAATATATATATTTTAACCTGCTTTGCTGCATTGCTCGGTCACAAATTCCTGTTTTAATACCTATGATACTATATCTAGCTGCTGGAATCAAGGGGCAGGCTTGGTTGGCTGTTTATTGCAAAGTTTTAATCATGTTGTGTGTACAAAACTTCAATGTTTGAAAAGTGAATTTTTATCTCGCGAGTATCTGTTCATTATTTTTCTCTTTAGTCAGCTAGATTGGTCTTTTTTTTTTTTAATGAAATGTACCTGTTAAAAATTACATGCTTCTGTAGTGACTAGTTGAGTTTAATTGTCAAATGCTGAATATAAATTGGATTTTCACAGTGTCTGGAGGAGGGAAATTGGCTGATTGTGGATAACGTCAATCTGTGCAGTGGGGCTGTCCTAGATAGATTGAACGGTCTCCTAGAACGTGATGGCGTTCTGACCCTGAGTGAAAGGGGTGTCGGGCCCGAAGGTGAAGTCGTCATAAAGCCCCATCCCAATTTCAAGCTCTTCTTCACAATGGACCCAAAGCATGGGCACATATCCAGGTATGTTTGTTGACATCCGTGGTCATTCTGTCCTGGCTTGTTTTTAAGTTTATACTATTAGCAATTAAATCAATTACCAATATAAAATTATACTAATGATAAAATAAAAACATCCCTTGATTACATATTTCTGCTTAACCAACCAATTCCCATGGCAAGTATGAGCGATTTTTTGCCCACCTTTTTCCAGTGTCTGTTTTTTACCTTTAAAAAAGTAATTTTAAATTAGGGATGGGATAAAAAAATCTCATCAATCATTGAACACACTATAATTTATTAATATGATTATCACTTTTTTTTTTTAAATTAGCTAGTTTATAGCAAAAGAGGAAAAAAAAAAAGAGAAAATAGTGTGGGTTGTATTTAAATATATTTCAAATTCAGGAGCAAGAAGAACCAAGATATATTTATTTATGATATTTTATTAAAATTGGTTGTACATAAATATATTTATATGATACTCAGGAGCACCATGTACATATGTACAAGTGCTTTCGGTCAGGGCCAGCTCTATACATTTTTGCACCTAAGGAGAGTTCCTATTTCGGCCTTCTCTGATCTCATACAGAACAATATAAAGAGGACTGTTCTAATAAGCAACAAAATGTTAGTAGAATTAAACAAAATCCTAAATCATCCTTAAATTAGGGCTACACTGAAAACAGGTTGTTTTGCAACCAAAAAGTCAACTAAAAAGGCTAGTACATTCCTCGAAGACCAAATAATTAAAAACGCCCTTGAATTCAAGAATGCAAGTAGCCCAATTGAAATGGAACAAGCAACAAAAGCGATCACTGATAGTATACTCAATGACAAAAACCAGATACTTGTATTAATTGCTTATTTTCCATAAAACTAGGTATAAAGATAATTGACTTAAAACATAAATAAAACAATAATTTTATAATAACATAACAACAATAAATTTACCTTTATAGAGTAGTACTAATCCTTTTACTCTCTTTAGATTCAAAATGAAGAAAATCAGGTCAATTTCTTCATCCTTTCCAGAGCCAACTTGTTGAATGAGTTAATTTTTTTTTCTTCTTAAAAACATGGTTTAAATCGAGAAGATTTCGCTCGAGCAGATGCTTTGACCAATGACGGACATAGCATCTGTTACACAGCCTGAGCCCTAGGTGTGCCTTGCTCTACCATGTCCAATGCTCTTCAGCAGTTTAGGGCTTCCGGAAGTCTCGATTAAAGAAAATTGCGCTTACCTACCACACTACAGAACCATCATTTAGTGGCTTCCTTGAGAAGTAGTCAACTCCAAACAGTCCATAATGTAATGGTGGGCTCTTAAAGTCATCAGAAGGCTTCGTGAAAATAGCCTAATCTCTAGATGCCAAACATTGAGTTCCTTCTAGTGAGCCATAGTCGAGTAGAGAGGCGACTATTCGTAAATCAGCATCTTGCTTGGATACTTGAACAATGAGGGGCTCTTCTCTTCAAAGTTGAGTGCCGGTTTGGTTTGTGGCAATCAGATGACGAAGGCCGTGTGTGGAGAAGACACAAGTAAGGATACTTTACTTCATTTGCCACATAAGTCACAGCTCTCAAAGACAGTTATGGTGTGGGCTGGAATCAACGTTCATGCCCCTATCAAACTGATTATAATACAAAACAGATCACTGCACTAAGCTACATTGAGGACTTCTGGAAGCTCTCATACCATTCGCCCCATTTAATGGGGGCAACTTAATGTTAATGATATTAGCTTAATGATAATGTTCAACTACAGTTAGTTGTCCTACAACTAGTTGTCTCCTATTACTCAGAGGACTTGGGGAATGTGATGTTCTGATGTTTGGGTAAATTTTCTTTCAAACCATCATGATTAAATAATTTTCATTAAAACTCATGAATTTCGGTTCTCGTTTAATTTGATTACACAACACAGCCATAAAAATACATGTAGTTTGAAGTAAACAATAAAATAGTTTTTGAGTGTATATTGAAGGTGTGCAGGGGAAAAATTGCTTCCAATGAAGAGAAATCACAGAATGAAAACATGCTCTCTCCTCAAAATGTTTTAAATTGTAAATTGCAAAAACTGGGATTGCTGGTGGTCTTTGAGAAGCAGTAGGCTTAACTCTTGCATCTGTTTGTCTGTCTCTCTCTCTCTCTCTCTCTCTCTCTCTCTCTCTCTCTCTCTCTTTCTCTCTCCTCTCTCCCTCCCACTCACACATGGTTACTCTTTCTCTTTCTCTCTCTCTTTCTTTTCCCACTAGGATCGTTTTCATGGTTTGCACTAAGAATTTTTCAATTAAAATAAAATTGAGACTGTTTTAATTCCTTTCACAGAGCAATGAGAAATCGTGGGATAGAGATTTACGTTGATTCCCCTTCTATAAAATCATTGAACCCTTTGGATCTTGACTGTATGCTCAGTTCCCTCGGTGTGGGTTCTTTCAAACACAAGAAAGCCTTGATTCACATTCACAACAGGATTGCGGATGAGTCACAAGGTCGGTATTTATATTTGAGCACACTTTTCATGTATCTTTGTTTGTTTGTTTTTTAATAGCAGATCTTTCAGGTATTGAACAACCATGTGTAAATCACTTGTTGAGCGCTACGTTTCTGGCTGTCCAGTACTGGAGCCGAGGCAGCTCTCTGTCTTCATCTGTGAAAAATGCTTTTGTAGAAATATACATTAAGTCAAGAACATTGACAAATGAGAATTTACTTAATCAAAATGAAGCGTTATTGAAAGCTGTTGGAGAAGTAAAGCAAGACCTCGAAGAAACTGGTTGCAGCACAGCTGATTCCTTCAGGCCCGAAATAAAAACTTTATCGACCTTTGCAGTCCAAGAAAATATTGTATTGTCAACATTGAAACATCAAGGGTCGTTTCTCTATGGTGTGCTAAAACTCTTGGAAAATATTGCAAAGTCAAAACAACTCTCTAAAAATATATCTTCCTACCATTTGTCAAACATAGTCGGATATGACCTATCGTCCTTAAATGACAAACATTTACAACATTTGGAATATAAAATTCTCGATACTCTCCCTTTCATAATTATATCGTTTTACAATCATGCGTCTTGTAATGATATCTCATACAGGCATCAATGGCTAGTTGATGTCATACAAAACATGACCAAGACTCCAATCACAAAAAACATTTGTGAAAAAATAATTCATATATCAAAAACTGTCATTGATGTTCTTGGAAGTGATATTATTGACTCGGGATTACCCTGGGATGAAAGACAATATTCGAGAAAGTTGTTGAATAAAAAAGACTGGTCTTGGGAGAACAAAACGAACATTTTGATCTGTTATCAAGTAGTGTTAACTTGCAATTCGATGGAATTGGAACTACATGACAAAAAAATCAACTGGCGGTCGATAACAATTCTCCAGTATTCTAATGCTGTCAAAAAAGGTAAGTTTGTTAATATGTTTTGTTAAATTTACCTAAACAATTAATTTTTAGGCATTATATCAAACTTGCCTATGAAGCAAACCATAATTTGTGAAATCCAGCCATTCCTCACTGAATTCGATAAAGTTGTAAAATGCATTCTGACGTCAAAGTACACAGATTTAAATACGGATCAAGCGTGTCAGTGGCTTTACAATGTCGCATGGAAATTCCGCTTTGCCAACATCACAAACAGGCGCCTTTTCTCAGGGAAAGAGAACATCATGACGAACATACCTCCCGTCTCAGAAGAATCTGTCATGCTCGTGATCCTGCACTACAAATGGTTCAGAAAGCACACAATGCCATTGCTGCTTGAAATGGTGCAGAAACACTCTTCATTGTAAGTGTCAGTCGTGGATAATTTGTTTAAAGATTGTCTAATTCGACGGACTTCTAGGAAAGAAAAAGCACTCCCTTTGATCAAACTCATCGACAAAATTGACGAATCTATTGAAATAGGAAAGATTCATCTAGTCCCACTGACGAGAAAGTTCACAAGACTCATGAAACCGCCTTTACCATTGCGATCCACTGAACAATGCGACTATAATAAAAAACTTCACAAGTATGTGGTATAAAGAAGTATTTTGTTAACTAATGTTCCAGCTTTTTATTTTATTTTATTTTTTAGGTTTTATAATTCTGTGGAGTTTTGGAAGCCTGTTGTTCAAAACATTTCTGCATTCAGAAGAGACACTCATTTTCTTGCTTCTGGAGAAGGGAAGCAAATGAGGAATAAATTAATAAAGTGCAGCGAATTTGTATTTCTTGATAAAATCCTGCCACGAGGTAAAAAAAATCTTCAAAACAAAATATTTAATCTTATTTATACCATAACTGTCTAGAATATGTATTTGTTTTATCGTTGCTAACAAAAAAGCATGCTAAATTGTTTATATTCATTTTATTATAGCTGAAGAAACATTCCAAGAAGTTGAAAAATCATTATCCTGCCGTGCTGAGAAGGAAGTTGGTCTTGATGAGCTGGCTGTCATCAAAATGTGGCCCTTTCAGGAAGTTGTGTCTCTCCAGCTGAACACTGCTCTACGACTCTACTTAAGCGGCTTTTCTGATAATTTCTTCCGACTCGTTTCAAGTTCTACTGTAAACTGGCTTGAAAACCTGTCATCAACTTGTCCAATCGCTACTGGAATCGTAAGGTCTGTGCTTTCGGGCTACGACTTGAAGGAGAAGACGCAACAGGCCCAGCTGCTCTTCCTACTCACAAGACAGATGAACAATTCACGCACTATTAGAAACCCTGTTCTTTATCTTAAATGGGATGAATTTCAAAATGTCGAAGATGATTTTTTCAACGATCAGGTATTAGGAATTGAATAATTTGTACAATTGTAGCTAACAATTGAACTTTTTTTTTTTTTATTAATTGGAAGGATGATATCACATTGAACTCACCACATTATTCACTATTCCTGGGCAATTTAATATCATCTATGTCAGAGAATTCAATGACATTTGCCCTCAGATCACATAAAATCACAAAAAACATGATCAATTTTATGAAAAGTATGCTGTGGAGGAATTTACCTGCTATATTTTCCCAAATTTTGGACGTTGAGTAAGAATTTAATTGATTATTGTTTATAATTACTCATTAAAAAAATATATCTTTCTACAGAAAAAATGAGGTGAAATGTTTAAATCACTGCTTTAGACTCTTAATGGTTTATCTTAAGAAATCAATTCTTAATGAAGATTCGAGTGAAGAGGATTTCAGTAGTTCAAAAATAACAGATGAAATCATCAAGAACTTATCCAAGCTTTCATTCCACGATTCAGATAGATTGAAAGGTCTTCACAGTGTGGACCAAAGTCATAAAGAAATCATAACATCCCTTGTTAGGACCTTACGGTGCCTTACCGGTACGATAGCCGTCCTTAATGAATCTGAAGACGGGTTGGAAAAAGGTATTTTAATCGGAAAAGGATGGGCTCTTCTTGGCCTTGCCCACATTTTACTTTTTTCAAATATGGAAACTGTCGACCCTGTACAGAAAAAATCATTAAAGAGGCAGTACGCCCTTGAAGAGGTATAGTTTCACTTTATGTCTAGAAATAAAAATAATTTTTTTATTGTATTTTTTTCTTAATAGTTTAGGGAGTTGAAAATGTATCTGTGTACTGAATCGCTTAACAAGGCAATACTCGGAGATATGAATAACTGGCCTTTCAAACAATCACACGAAGCTAGAATTAAATATCTAGAAGATAAAAGTGAACATTTAGGGAAAGCAGTTGCCGTTCGGCCTTGCCCGTCTCTTTACAACAATATAGTAAAGGTAAACAATTAAACTTAACACCTTAGAATTTTATTTGCTGATTTAAACATTTAATTTTCAGGAAATTCAAAATTTAGGGAATTATCTCTTATCGGGAGAGAACTTCCTGCCCATGCTAGAAAAATTGGGAGTTGAAGCAAGCGAAAAAGAAAGTATCGCTTTAACCACCAAAAGCTGGCTTTTGTCAGTCAGGACTTTTCATGAAAAACTTTATAAAGACTATTATTCGACTTATCCTGATATTGTAACACCACATCTTCTCGCATCATCACAGGTAAATGGCACATAATCTGTACAAGTTTGTGCTTAATTTTAAAACGCTCTTAAATTTTCAGCTCATTTACGGATTGGAAGCAGTGACGAATCATATGATAAAAGGATCCATTGATAAAAAGTTTAACTTGTTCTCTGATACCATACATGAAATCATGGTGCGCCTTGGTACTTTCCCGATTGACAGCACTGATGCTACAGTCGAGCTCATAAAGACGTATACATCAGATTACATGATGATCCTGCTTGACAAATGTGCAGAACGCTGTAATAAACAAAATAAAACCAACTACAAGCTGAGGTTGTATTAATATTGTTTACTAATTAAACAAATTTTGAGTTTCGTTATTGTTGTAGGTTGGCAAAAATTTGTGTAAGGTTGGTTAGGAGCATTAACAAAACAGACTCTGTACAGTCTGTTCATGAGATACTTTTCCAAGTGCTTGATTTTGTTGTTCATTCATGGCACAAGCTGCAGGAAGACGCTAAAATAAAAAAAGCCCAGGAGCAAAGCATTTACATCAATAAGTTAGTTTATATTCTAATAGAAAATGTTTCACCACAAGATGTTTTTTTTTCTATCAAAGGTTTATTTTTACCTTCATTGTTTTGTTAGGTTGACACCACTTCAAATTGAAGAAGAAGAGACAAAAAGAAGTGTCCAAGAGATGTTCCCAACTCACCTGGAAAGAGATTTTGGTGATCTCGAGGAGCAGAAATCTCTCGAAGATCCTGTTCCATCTAGAATGGAAGTCTGTCAAGATAAGAGCGACGAACAGTTCACAATCGACATGCAAGACATCAAAGAAATCTGCTTGCTCCATTCTCAAATAGTCTCAACATTTAAAAACACGCCATGGGCCTTGAAAGTGGATGAAAATGACGATGACAACAATAAACAGCTACTTCTTGAGAGAATGGACATATTTTCATATTTGATAAACGGATGGCATCCAGCTTGCAACATAAGCCTCGACACTTCTTCAATTTCTGCACTTATAACTGCCGCAAATTTACCTCTGCTCGACACAACAGAGCGAACACTTGGCCGGACGTACAACTTTTACAAGGATTCGAATATCGATGAGGCAAAACTTTGTATCTCCTTGATGAACGCAATTCTGAATAAAGTGGCAGAACTTTTGGATGAGTGGAATGAACATCCAACACTGAATCAGGTATTATTTTTTATGTTATAGTGTGCTATTTTCTTTTGGTTTATTGACAATCTCTGATCATCTTAGTTTGGTGTTTTCATTCATTTTGCTTCTTTTTTTTTTTTTTTAAGATTAAAATTGTCGTTGAAAGAGTGATAGGGTTTGAAATGACAAGCCCTTTGTCACGGTTTCTCACTGGACTTGAACTGCTTCTGACAAAATTGCACGAATGGGAGGAAAATGCTCATTCAAAAGTCTCGTTGGCGTCTCATGCAACCAGTCTGACACACCAGATCATTTCATGGAGAAAACTGGAACTGTCTGCATGGAAAGGTGCACTTGCATCTACTATGACAAAGTAAGGAAAAGTGATAATATTTATGTAATTTAGCCTGACCATTTATATTTATAGAAAAACATTTAGTTTTGCACTATTAATTGTTGTAGTTGTTTTATTCATTTAGGGTCTGGCACTTAGGCATCCATAATAAACTTAATCCTACCCACTCGCCATCTCTTTATCCTGGAATCATATTTAACTGACTGCTGCTTCAGTGTGAGATGTAGCAATCGCTACACTATTATCAAACCAATAGCCAGTGCCCCCCAAGGGAGCATACCTAGTCCTATATATAATTATAACTTAATCCTAAACTCCTGTTTAACAAATCTTTGCTTCAAAATTAGGTGTGATAAAATGTTCTTGGAGAAAGAGCGAGCCAACCCAGTGTTCCACATGGGAGCATTCATAGTCCTATCCTGTTACTATTTACACTGCTCATGTGCGCTCTTTGACATGACCCTCCCCGACAACCAGGATTTTTCTTCAAACTAAAACAGGGCCTACCACTAGTTATAACTTAATCCTAAACTCCTAACAAATCTTTGCTTCAAAATTATGTGCGATAACACGTTCTAAAAGAAAGAGCGAGCCAACCCAGCGCCCCCCAAGGGAGCATTCTTAGTCCTATCCTGTTACTATTTACACTGCTCGGGTGCCCTCTTTGACATGACCCCCTCCTGGCACTCGGGATTTTTCTTCAAACTAAAGCAATGGTTTCAAAATTAGGTGTGATAAAATGTTCTTAGAGAAAGAGCAAGCCAACCCAGTGTTACTCAAGGGAGCATTCTTGGTCCCATCCTGTACATTATTTACACTGCTCACTTTTCTATACATATGCCAACGTTACCTATGTGGATGATACCACAGTATTATCTTCTAATCCAAATCTTATCCATGCAACCTCCAATATCCACGAACAACTTGGATTTATAAAAATTAGAGGGCATAATGATGAAAAATGTACCGAGTGTACTTTTACATTGATAAAACAGTTTTGTCCTCCATTGTATATCAAACAGGACCTACCAACTTCCACTCAAGTCAGATACTTAAGCCTATACCTAGACAGCAGACCCCACACTCTATTTAAGAGACCAGAAGATTTGGACAACTATGAAGACTTAAGAATTTTGTTTGTCAAAACTAAATTAACACAATACAAGACATTACTGCAACCACACAGGACATATAGGAGTGGATGGCACTCAGCTGTTGACTCTGAGAATCTGCTGGGAAGCAGATTTTGGGGAGGATGGGCTGAACACTTTAACCAAATCCTCAACTGCATTACTGTGATCACTGATGAGGCCATTGCTCGCCTCCCTCAAGTGGGGACCAGCCAGGATCTGGACAGCCTTCCAACAGAAGAAGAGGTCAGAGAGGTTGTCGAGCAACTTTCCTGTGGTAAAGCACCAGGACCAGATGCCATTCCTGCTGAAATTTATAAATCTGGTGGGCCAGTCATGGTACAGAAACTGGCTTGAGATGTTTCAGTCGATGTGGAAAGCAAGAAAGGTCCCACAGTAAATGAAAGATGCTAACATTGTGCACATCTACAAGAGGAGGAAGGGTAACCGTCAATCCTGTGACAATCACAGAGGCAGCTCCCTTTTGTCAGTAGCTGAGAAGATTTTGGCTCGCCTCATGCTCAACCGCCTTTTACAACACCTTGAGCCGGGCCTCCTTCCAGAAAGCCAGTGTGGCTTCCGTGCAGGACGTGGAACAGCTGACATGATATTCGCTGCACGCCAGCTCCATGAAAAGCACAGTGACCTCTTCATGACCTTTGTTCATCTGACAAAGGCTTTCGACACAGTGAGCAGAAGTGGCCTGTGGACGATAATGGAGAAGTTTGGCTGTCCCAAAACACTTATCACCATTGTCCGACGATGGCATGATGGCAAGGGTGCTGGATGATGGGGACGAATTTGAGGCCTTTGCAGTGTCAAATGGCTTAAAACAGGGCTGTGTCCTAGCCCCAACACTATTCAGCATGGTTCTCTCTGCCATGCTGACTGATGCGTCCTGTGACTGCCCTGATGGCATACATATCCGTTATAGGATCGATGGCGGGATATTCAACCTCAGGCGCTTGCAGGCTTTCACAAAGGTGAAACAGGCCCACGTCAGAGATCTTTTGTTTGCTGATGACTGTGCCCTCGCTGCTAGTACAGAGCAGGAAATGCAACATGAAATGGATTGCTTCTCTCAAGCCTGTGATAACTTTGGTCTAACAATCAACACAAAAAAGACCGAAGTCATGTTTCAGCCTGCACCAGGAAAACTACCATGAACCTTTCATCACATTTAAAGAACTAAAGAACAGCAACTTCAGACTGCTGAGAAAGTCAGCAACAAGATTGCCAAGGCTAGCGCTGTCTTCGGGATGCTTCGCGCAAACGTTTGGGAGCGGAGAGGACTTAGGCTCACCAGAAAGCTTAAAGTCTATTGTGCAGCAGTACTCACCACCCTTCTATATGCCAGTGAGACCTGGACTGTCTACAGCAGACTGCAACCACTTTCATTTGAGTTGCCTCCGCAAACTCCTTCAACTCAGATGGCAAGACAAAATCCCAGACACGGAGGTCCTGGAACGGGCCAGCATCCCCAGCATTTATACCCTCTTGGAGAAGGCCCAAGTCAGATGGGCTGGGCATGTTGTCAGGATGCCAGATGATCGCCTACCAAAACGCTCAGTGGGAGGACAAAAGAAACGATTCAAAGACTCCCTGAAAACATCTCTAAGTGACTTGGGTATTGACCTCAACACCTGGGAGTCTCTTGGTTTGGACCGTACAACCTGGCGAAGCAGGCTCACCTCAGGAGCATGTGCAGCGGAAGTTAGAAGAGCTGCAGAGGCAAAGAAGAAACGCATTGCTTGCAAGGCCCGAGCTACCTCCACATTCAATGCGGCACTCACCTATGTATGCTCGGCATGCAACTGAGGTTTCAGGGCTCGTATTGGCCTCATAAGTCACCAGCGGACCCACAACCGTACACACCACACCCAACATTGAAGTCATAGTCATCTTCGAAAACGAAGGACGAACAACAACATAGGAGTGGAACTGTGGGGTTCTGCCAACCCATGCAATATCCAGTGCATCCAATTTTTTCACTCAAATTGTCAAAGCCCCTTACTACCTCACTAACCTCATTATCCGCAACTTCAACATTCCTTTTGAATACAAGTTGATCCAATTCCGTTTCCAAAAGTTCCACATAAAGCTCTTATCCATCCTAACCATATTGCTCGACCCTTTCTACACTTTCCCATGCCAAGGACTCGCATGTCGCCTTAAACGACAATCGCTGGAGACCTCATTACTCTTAACATGTGTCCTCCGGCATTGTGAACAGAAAAAACATACATGCACATATTTATAATATGTATTTTGATATGTACAAGCTACAAATAAATTATTTTAACTTTTATCCCAATTTACATTAATTATATTTCTAATTTAGAATCCAAGAGGAAAGCAGTAAATGGTGGTTTCATCTTTATTCTCTCATTTCTTCTTTTGTCAATTCTGGAAGTGAAGAGAATTCATTAGAACAGTTTGTGAGCTCACTGCAACAATTTATGGAGACAAGTTCACTCGGGGAGTACTCGGCTAGACTGAAGCTTCTTCTTACATTCCATTTGCACTGTTTGTTCTTGCCGAAGTCGACTAGACAGCGTATTTATTTTTAAAAAACAATGATTATTTTAAACTGGATTATTAATAACTCAATTTTATAGAATTGGCAGTAAATGTGTTATGGAACTTGCACAATTTTTATAAGCTTTTCGATGAACACGTGGCGAAAAAGGTGAAAGAGTTGTCAATCCCGATTGAAAAGAAGCTTAAGGATTTCGTGAAGATAGCCAGGTGGAACGACATTAACTATTGGTCAGTAAAAGCGGCTGTCGAAAAGACGCACAACACTATTCACAAACATGTCAAAGAATTTGAGGTAAGAGGTAAAAATTGTTTAAAAAAAGTCAAACTTTAAATGTCACGTATTCTTTTAGAAAATGCTTAAAGATCCTGCCAACACAGCAATGGTCAAATTATCAGAGCTGAGAAACATTTCAGAAATGACCTTCCCAAAATTTGATGAGAAAAATTACATTTCTGATATCAACGTCTTGGTATGTCTTTATTAGTTTCATTCTATGTGTTTTATTAACATTTTGAAAATACTTTTAGGAAAATTACAAAGACGAGGACAAGACAGAGCTACTGAAGCACTTGGAAACCCTTTCTCGAAAGTGCAGGCGCCTCTCTAAACAGACTATTTCTAAATGCACTTATTTAAAACTTCTTGAAAACCTGTCTTTCTTTGTGTCTGACGTATTGGAAAGTGGAAAGTTAATTAATGAATTTGATGTGAGTTAGCAAACACAATTAATTAAGTACATATTGAATTGATAATTTTTTATTGAAATTGCAGCTCGATTCATCGCTCCCTGAAGACAAAAGGAAATCCGCAGCGAAAGCCTTGCTTCAAAGGAAAAGAAAAGCGGTGTCAGACTTGTTTCGAACATTGACACAGTTGGGTCTTGCATATAGATCCGGACTGTTAATGTATGAAAAGAAAAATATAGAATTTTCAACACAGATGCCTATAAACATAAAGTGCTCCTTACAGCAAATAAATCCTTGGTAAATTATTTCTATAAAAATATTATTATATTATTTTCTTTTATTTTAATTGGCTGGCTACCATAGCACTGGTGCCTCGATGTCTTTTCCATCTCATGTTTTGGCAGTAGTAGAGATTAGACGCTTCCATACAAGAGCTTTACAATCTTTTATTTCTACTGAAAATTGTGGAATGTTAGAAAAATTACATACATTTACGTTTAAAACATACTATTATATGCCTATCTTTAGTTTTCCCATTTTCCACCTTCATTCAAATAAAAGTGAAAACCTTTCAAACAGTTAAAAGAAATTACAAGCCATCTGAATATTTGATATATGCAGGTGCTCACCACCATTCTCTTTATAAAGATATAAACCTAATTTGGTGGGTCTGTGAAGTATTCTATATTCCACCACAAACCTACCTACACATACCAAAAAGCTAATAAATACATTCACTCAATAAGGAAAAAACTACACGTGTATTATCAAGGTCTTTGAGTGGTCTCTGGCGCTTTCAGAAGAAGCCCTATGGCCAGCCTTTGCTGCGAGATGGGGGTGTCACCGCCATAATTTCGGAGGGAGTAGCTCACCCTCAGCTATGTGGCGGAGTTCCTTACCAAACCAGGACATCTGATTTCTGGTGCGATCCTTAAATGCCAGTATAAATATACGAGCGACTTCAGACTTGGATACAACCTATAGGAATATGCTTTGGCAAAGTGTTAGGGAAGGTAGGGATGACACTTGGAATGGTACTCGAGCTGGGCAACTGGCCAACTCCGCTCTGGATCCTACCAGCCGTACTCGTCTGGGAAGATCTTGCTGTGTAAGCCAACTTGTTTACTCCGCCATACCTTTATGGAGCTAAATTCTTGGAGCTTAGATTGAGGTATGCTGGTTTTCAGCTCATCTTTACAGACAGGTCTAAGACTGATGAAGGTGTGAAGTGTGTTGTTTATTGCGAGGGTGCGTCTACGTCATGGTAGACAATGTAGCGTTTACACGGCAGAACTTTATATGCTTTGGCACATGCTTGATGGTTCTGCCTACCTAATCTGCACCAACTCCCTCAGCGCAGTTTCTGTCCGTGACAGGTTTTCCGTCGACCCTCTTGTAGTGCTTTTGTTGGAGAGGTACCACAAACTGAATCATTTCGGCAAAACAATGATTGTTGTCAGTATATCTAGACACTTAGGTCTGGAGAGTAAAGGTGGGCGAGGTGGTTAAGGCCTGGACGTCCCAGCCTCCAGACTTAACCACAGTGTTCCAGCCCTCTGATGCTATGAATGCAATAAAAACCATGATTAAAAGAAAATGACAGTGTCAATGCGCTGTGTTGTCAGAGAAGCTCTCACATATCAAGAGCACTGTCAATGGGTTGACACACGGCCAATTACTTTCAGGCCAAAGCCCACCTGTCCAGCATGTAGAGTACAGTTGCTTGATGTGTCCCACCAAAGGGTGCATTTTCTTGGTTCCATACAAAGCAGGAATGTCACCCGATCTGAGAATTGCTCTAGAGCATGGCAATGAGTATGTCCTCTGTTCTGATTCTTGGAGGAAATGGGGCTGTTCTATTGCAGTTGTGTATACCTAGTTTGTGTTGAGAGTGAATGTATTTATTAGTGTGAATGTGCGATATGAGAGGGTCGATGGAGGAATATTGAGTACCCATCACCCTAATTGAAAAAAAGGCATTTAAATAGGAGTGAATATATTTAAGAATGAACGTGAGTATGAATGGGCTTGGATCTGCATGTGTTGGATGCTGAATTGACCTAGCTATTGATGGCCCTCTCCCCCCAGCCAAACCTCGGTGGCTAGACTGATGACTGAGGTTTGCTCCCAGACTGCCAACACCCGGGGTGGTGATTCTTGAATGTGCCGGCAGTTTGGTGTAAATAAAAAAGCTAGAATTGTCAGTGGGCAGGTAGTGAATAGAAAATATTTGTACATATTGTATGTACATATATGTGCAAATTTGAGCATATATAAATCCAAAACAATATGTGAACAAGCCTTCAGATGTGACTATTAATTTATCTGCTTTCTCGCTGCAATCATTGTTTTGTTTCAGATGTCCATATCTTGTCCTATACGGCGCTAATTGTTATATGCTTCACACTAATTTTACATCTATTGAAATTTTAGCAACAGCGATAAAGATTTACTATCATCCTGGAGTCACACAGAGGAGATTTTTCTGACATGTGTAGCACAATCCGCACAGTTGAAAGTAGTCCTGGAAAAACCGCATAAAGACCTCGGCCCACAAGTTACTGAACGGATAAAAGGATTCATATCTCATTTCTTGGTAAGGATGATTTTTTTAACAAATTGATCGTAAAGATGGGTTTCCATTACACAAAAATCACTCGTGCGACTGTTTCACAAAACTTGTCGTGCGTTGTGGATTGGAACCAGGTCTACATTCGACTTACCTAAATTTATCACTACTGATTTTTGTGGGATGCTAGACATATAATTCATCTTAATAAGAACAATAGAGGATGCAAGAAAGGAAATGAACATCAAAATGGGGCAAAGGCAAAAAGTACAACTCAAAGTTTTGCCAAGCTAGTAAACGCTGATGCAGCAGTTGTTGTAGTTGTATTCTTGTGCAAACTGATGGCTCACCTTGTTTTGCCTCTAGATTGCAAACCTCGTGGGCATGGTTAACCTGAGACAGCGTTTCGCGAGTGATTTTCCTGATTAGTTGTACGAGTGATTTTTTCATGCAATGGAAACCCAGCTTTATGTCTGAGTCAGCAAAATCAGTCCTACGCGCTTTCATCTCTCTCTCTCTCTCTCTCTTTCTCTCTCTCTCTCTCTCTCTCTCTCTCTCTCTCTCTCTCTCTCTCTNCTCTCGCTCTCTCATCTTCCATCTATCTTATCTCTCTTGCCAAAAGTCAGTGTTCTTTCTTTTGTCTTCTAGTCTGACTAACTCTTGCTGTCATTATGTGTTCCGAGTGATCATTTATTTAATCAAATGAGCAGCTTATGTTTTATTTTACAAATTAACCTATTGCAACTTTTGTTTTTCAGAAACTGTTGCAAGATGTGAAAGAATCCATCATAAAGAACTTTGAAAAGCTTATGTTGTTAAGATGTCAGCTTGCTCAGTTAAAAGACGTCGATGTTGAAAATTGTGGATTCATATGCAAGAAATTTGACAATTTTAAGGTAAGTTTAATTACAGTCATATTTCTTAATCTAATATGGTGATTATGATTTTTTTATGTTTTGCTCTACTTTTACAGAATGGGTTGAAGGCATTTTGTAACAATGTGATCGTTTGCTTGCCTCAATTTCTCATGGTGCTTGACGCTTGCCCAGAGCAGAGCAAGATGTCGAGCGAGTATAACGAACCGCCCAATATTTTTCCAGCAGAACACTCGAATAAAATGGTCAACGCTTATAAGTTCGATGAAGTCTGGGAGGAGACGAGGTTTAAAATCAAATTCATAATCACGACTGCTACAAGGCTCAGGGATAAAATTACCAAATTTGAAAAACATCATTTATTTGCAAGCACCCTCATAGGGAAAAACAGTGGCGTTGATGTTATTAGGAGTTCTGAATACAAAGAATTAATAGATGATAGTTATAAAAAGCTGACAAACATTTTAGCCGACTTGAAAACAGTTAAGGAATCTTTTGGGCTAAAACTTGATGAACAAACTCCCAGAAATCCACTAGTTTCATCATTAGAAGGACTGATTCATAACTTAGAAAAGAACTTACCATATTTGTATAATGAATACAAAAACCAAAAATTATTCCCACTTAAGAATCCTGAGAATGTAAACAGTTTTAAAAACAAATTAGAGAAAAGCGTACATAAAAGTTTAATAATTATACAAAACCTCTATAAAAATTATTCTCCTTGTGGTGAAAATATAGAAGAACCGGAAGAAAAAGAAGGTGAAATGGAAGAATTTCTTCTTAATGGGCACATTAAAGATAAAATTGTCGATAGTCTTTTATCAGATGTCGAAACTTTTAATCTTCAAAGTATTACAGAAAGCATAAGCGATCTTTTTGATGAAGTTGCTAAGATGGTGAATCCTGAAGATGCTAATGAATGTCAACTGTAAGGATAACAAAAATATTTTTTTTTTAAGTGAAAAATGTGTACAATTTTAATTTTTTTCTTTAAAGGTTGCTGAGAAATTGTTTACCAATATTCGACCAGCTTACATCGTTGTCACAGTATTTTTTAACACAAGAGACACTATCTTTAAAAGTTATGTCCAGACTACAGTCATCCTTACTAGCTGTATTCATAGACTTTGGTCGAAACGTGAGTTCATATTAACCAAATTAACAATGGAAAAAAATTAACAATGATTTTTTAAAGGGATATAACGTTCCGGAAGATCTTGTGGAAGATGGAGAAGAAGGCGAATCGCAGGAGACAAAAGGTGGGATGGGCCTTGGAGAAGGGGAAGGTGAAAAAGACGTATCGGATCAAATTGAAAGTCAAGATCAACTGGAAGATGCCAAAAAACCCGGGGAGTATGGAAAAGAAGAAGATAAAGATTGCAAAGTATATATTAAAAAAAGGTTTTTTAAAGCACATAATAAAATATATAACATTTTAAGGAGGAAGAGAAAGGCATAGAAATGGAAGAAGACTTCGGTGGGAATTTGCAAGACCTTGAAAAGAAGGATGACGAGGAAAAGAGCGATGAAAGTGACGGTGATGAACCTGATAAAGAAATGGGTGATACTGAACAAGGCGCTGAAACTTTAGATAAAGAGGTACATCTCAATTGACTTTGAACCACTTCAGTTTTAATTTTACTCGTGTTTATATACAGATTTGGGGAAGTGATTCTGAAGAGGAGGAAGAAGAAGAATCTAGCAAACCGAAGGAGGAAGAAGGTAACAAAGGATCAGAACAGACCGAAAAAGAACTTGGAGCCAAGGATAATTCTGATCAACAACAGCCGAATGAAGATACGCAAGAAAAGGAGAATAAACGACAACAGAAGAAGGATGAGATTAACGAAATGGAAGAAAATGAAGTCGATGAGGAACAAGTTAATCCATATCATGGTAAAAATTTATATTTCATTTTCTCAAAATTCTTTATAAAACATAATATTTATTTGTAGGAAATTTCCCGCCTTCCCCAGAAGTAGAACCTCTTGAATTGAGTGATCAAGAATCAATGATGGATACTGATGACCTCAGTGAAAATTCAGACACTGAAGACAAAAATCCATTTGACATTGATGCAATGAAAGGTACTTTTTAATTTAAACTACCTCATTTTAGTTTTTTATAAAATTAAAAAATATTTTTAGATAAAGATAAAGAATCTGACACAAAAGATGAAGAAGCAGAAGAAGGTGGGGAAGAAAATGAAGAAGAACCAGATAAAAACGAAGAAGAAAACATTGAAAAACCTCATCTGAAGAAAAATGAGGAAGAAGTACAAGAAGAAAAAGAAGAAGAAGGTGATAAAGGTAATATTAACATGTTGCATTAACAAATTGTTCAATATTTGATCTACATTAAAATGAAAAACAGTTTATTTTATTATTAAAAATCATGAGTATTTTCAAATATGAGAGATATTAATCATTGTAATAATTTATCAAATTAAAAGATGAAAAGGCAGATCAAGGAGAAGTAGAAGAGAAAGAAGAAATAACGGAGGAAAAGAATGAGGATGAAGCTGTAGATGTTGATAAACCAAGTGATGCCTTAGCAGAACCTAGCCAACAAAAAGAAACAGCAAAAGATCAAGTTAGTAACTACAAATTTAATTTCTTGGAATTCGTAATTTATTTAACAAATTTTGAAAAATATCAGGTGAGTGGAGACCAACAAGAGGATCCTGAGAGCACCAGTCTGGATCCGTTAGAGACGACAGGCAAGGAAAAATCCGGCTCAGGCACAGCCGACAAGTCGACCAGAGATGATGGTGGTCACACAGGCCATCAGGGTAGAATGAAGAAGGAAGGGACAAAAGAAAAAGAAGAAAAGAGGCAAAGGCCGGGAGAGAGTGAGATGGAAAGGAGCCTTGGTGATGTAAATGAACCTGCCCTGAAAAAAATGAAGACGATAGGAGTTCAGAAAGACCAAGAAGTTGAGAATATAGAGCCCACTGAAGAAGCCGACCTTTTCCAGCATATACATCAGTCTAAAGATACCAAACATGACACACAAGTCATTGATGCAGCAACTCAGGTAAATAAATAAATTAAACATAACATTGTGTTAAATAATAATAATAAATTAACTCTCCTGATGCAGGAACAAGCTGAAAATACGCCAGTTCCTAACAAAGACAATGAGGATGGGCAAGAGCCAGAAGATGTACCAATGGAATTGGACGAAGGTGTGTTAATTCAGTTTATTTTCACGTTCTTGTCTAAAAAAACAAATTTCCAGATGAAACACCAGAGGAGGAAGTTGCTCTGAATAAAGTCGGCCCTGAAAAAATTGGAGATGCGCATAAAGAAAATAAAGAAACTAGTAAGAAAAAGGGAGATGGCGAAGCTCTAGAAGAAGCAAGCGTACAGGTTAGTTTCAAAAGTTTCAACTCCAAATGTTCACTAAAGCTTTCTTTTCTTTCAGGTTGAAGGAGAGATTGTACCAACGGCTCATGTAGAACGAGGCTCGGACAGTACATACTATACAAGGCTCGACGAACTAATCGTGGAATGTATAATGTCAGGTGAACATCTCCAATCCTTACAGGGAGAGTTAGAAAACCAGCTTGCTTCTTGGAGCCAGGTATTTAACTGTTACTGTTTTGTTTTAAGATAAGTAGTGTAAATTTTTTTTAAACTTTTCCTAGCCTCCTGCTGGAGAAGAAGCTTTTTCTGCTTGGGAAAAACTCTGCACTGTTACATCATCGTTGGTTCGAGATCTATGCGAGCAGTTAAGACTTGTGCTAGAGCCCACAACAGCTTCGGGTCTCAAGGGTGATTTCAGAACCGGACGGAGAATTAACATGAGAAAGGTGGTGAAATCGATTTATTTTTCTATTTCAGTGAAATTTACATCTACGTGTTATTTCCTTAGGTTATTCCGTACATTGCGAGCGAATTCCGAAAAGACAAGATCTGGCTTAGGAGAAGCAAGCCATCAAAAAGGGAATATCAGATCGTCCTGGCAGTCGATGATTCTTCCAGTATGGCTGATAATCATTCAAAACAGGTAGCTCTTTGAAATGAAATCTTCAAAAAGATTGAATCTTTAAAAAAAATCTGTTAACAGCTTGCTTTTGAATCATTGGCCTTGGTCAGTAGAGCTTTGAATCTGCTTGAAGTTGGTGATTTGAGCGTCTTAAGTTTCGGTGAAACTGTTAAAGTTTTGCATCAACTCGGCGAACCTTTTACAGATCACAGTGGTGCAAGGTACACGACAAAATCATACTTTCATACTTTTTTAAAACAATTATTAACAGCGATTGCTCATATTTTTATCCTGACAGGCTACTACAACATTTTTCATTTGACCAAAAAAAGACAAAGATTGGCGCATTGGTGGATCATGCAGTGTCTTTATTGATGACAAGCTCTCGTCGTACAGATGCTGATATTGCCCAGCTGCTTATTATAGTCTCGGATGGCAGGGGAGTCATGTCTGAAGGTGAAGAATCAGTAAGAGCCAGTGTTCGCAGGGCCAATTTACAAAGGGTCTTCATGATTTTTCTCATTATCGACAACCCAGACTCTAAAGTAAGTAATTAAAAGTAATTAAATTATAAAACTGTGCATTAATCGACTTTTTTTTTAAGGATTCAATTTTAGACATAAGACTACCCTGTTTCAAAGATGGAAAACTTCTGGGCATTACACCGTACATGGACAATTTTCCATTTCCTTTTTATATAATTTTAAGGGATATTTATAATTTACCTTCTGTTTTAAGTGATGCGCTTCGGCAATGGTTCGAATTAGTCACAAATACTAGTAAATAGGTTGTTTAGTCGTTTCTTTTACTTAAAAATGGTGTATAATATAATTTATTATATTTTATGAATTTATGTTTGAAGTAAATAAATTTGTTATGTTTTACATACCCATTGTTTGTTTTTTCTGTACATAAAACTACAACAAACTGATAACAGGTGCTCTGTGGTATGTGAGAAATCGTTCGTACCATTCACAGAATAACTCTAACCTATTTGTAAAACTCATTGATTTCATCACCAATGATGATTCGCACCCACATCGACAAATGTATCATAGAAGAATGATAAAGGAACATGCCTTTCACATTTGGGTAATGCTAAGAGTTGTAAGATTTCTTTATGGAAGGGCATTGAACTCTTAGTTTGATCATATCCAATATCAGTCACAAAAATCACAAAAGAAAGCTAAAAACTAAAACGCCATTTCCAAGAGGTGAAACAAGGTGAGCTATCAGTTTGCTTGAGACAAGCATGCCATTTGTAACTGCACTTCGAACTGCTTTGTCCCATTTTGATGGACATTTCCTTCCTTGTATCCTCTCTCTTGTTCTTATGATGAATTTTATCTTTAGCATCTCACAAAAATCGGTAGCTATGATACATTCCAAAAATCGAATGCAGTCCTCTTGTTCATTCTCATACTCGAAACAAGTGCGTGTAGCAAACAAGCAAATAACGTGAAACACTTTGATGAGCATTAAAAAAAAAACATCATCCCAAAAGTTTCTGGCCCCAGCTAGGTATCCACAACACGAGACAAGTTCCACAAGTGATGTTCGCACAATGGAAAGCAAGCTTTAGATTTTTGGGCATTGAAATTTTTATGAAGCAGTACTCAGATAGCACATTGGGCATGTTCTGTGCTTTAGTGAATCCGCTATGTCATCTGTGATTAGAAGGCAGCTAAGTTCTCATAATTTTCAAAGGGTGAATTTGAAAAAAGAACTGATTGAAAGAAGAAGATGAAGAATATAATTGCCAAAGGGTGGATTTGGTTTACAAAAAATGGATTTGATTTGCAAAAGAGTGGACTTTAGCAAAAGTGTCAACTTAATATACAAAGGGTGGATTTGATTTGAAAAAAAAAGTGGATTTGATTGGCAGAGTGGACTTTTAGCAAAAGTGGCAATTTAATTTGCAAAATGGTGAATTTGGTTTACAAAAGAGTCAATTTGAATTTTAAAAAAGTGGATTTGATTTGCAAAAGGGTAGATTTTAGCAAATACGACAATTCAATTTGCAGAATGGTTGATTTAGTGTGCAAAAGAGTCAATTTGATTTACAGAAAAGTGGATTTGATTTGCAAAAGGGTGGATTTGAGCAAAAGTGTTAATTTAACTTACAAAAGGGTGGAATTTGATTTGGAAAAGGGTCAGCTTGGTTTGCAAAAAAGTGGATTTAAATTGCAAAGGGGTGGATTTTTAGCAAAAGCGGCAATTTAATTTGCAAAAGGGTTGATGTGGTTTACAAAAGAGTCAATTTGATGTGCAAAAGGGTAGATTTTAGCAAAAGTGTTAATTTAATTTACAAAAGGGTGGAATTTGATTTGCAAAAGGGTCAGCTTGGTTTGCAAAAAAGTGGATTTAATTTGCAAATGGGTGGATTTTTAGCAAAAGCGGCAATTTAATTTGCAAAAGGGTGGATTTGGTTTACAAACCAGTCAATTTGATTTGCAAAAGAGTGTATTGATTTTCAAAAAAATAAATTTGATTTGCAAAAGGGTAGATTTTAGCAAATGTGACAATTTAATTTGCAAAAGAGTAAATTTGATTTGCAAAAGGACAGGTTTTAGCCAAAATGGCCATTTAATTTGCAAATAAGTGAATTTGATTTGCAAAAAGGCGGATTTTTAGCAAAAGTGGCCACTTGATTTGTAATAGGATATTTGATTTGAAAATCATATAAATTCGATCATAGGGTCTACTCTACTTGTTAGCAGATTTTAATTACTCAGTTTAATGTGGAATTATACTTTCGTGTAAGTGTAATTATATGTTGTTTAGCTTTATTTATATTATTATATATATTATTCGCTTTTTGCTTCTTAAGCTGAATTTACTGATTCCTGATTTTTTATAAACTCAATTCTGCATATGTACATACAAACCCATGTAGTACCCAAAATTGATTGTTAGGTTAATGATTTGTTAAGTGTGTAGCTTCTTTCATATTATCTTTATTTTAAAAGTATGGTTTTTTTTATGTAGGAATTCTTACGTAGTGGAAAAGAGCAATATGAGCCAACTTAGCAAAATAAAAAGTCAAAGCTTAAGTGTTAAAAATTTTGTAAACATTTTTTAAAAATGAAAAATCAAATTAAATAACACACTATTATCCTTATTCTTATTGTTATAATAATAACTCATTCCATAATTACCATTTTTTATCAACTCATACTTTCAATCCCTTCCGATATTATTAACTTTCCTACAAACTCAATCTTCCTCCAAACTTTGCCTACCCTGGAGGAATCCACTCTGAATTTAAACTTTTCGAACTGGCACTAAGAAGGGATTACTTTGATATTGTTTTTGTATTTAAATTATTAAACAATCTCATTGATAGTCCTTTTCTCCTCTTTCAACTAGAGCTACATGTCCCTTCGCACTCTCTTAAAACCCACAAACTATTTTATATTGAATTCCAAAGCTCTAACTACATGCTCTCTTCTCCTCTACACAGAATGATGATCAAGAGTAACAACATCTGCAATAGCATTGACTTCTTCCATAGTTCTGTGCAATATGTGAAAAACCATATCCTACAACCTTAGTTTAGTTGAATGCTTTTATATTTCATACTTTTCAAAATTTATTTCAAGTTTGCAAAATGCTGGATTTTTAGCAAAAGCGGCAATTTAATTTGTAAAAGGGTTGATTTGGTTTACAAAAGAGTCAATTTGATTTGCAAAAGGGTAGATTTTAGCAAAAGTGTTAATTTAATTTACAAAAGGGTGGAATTTGATTTGCAAAAGGGTAGATTTTAGCAAATGTGGCAATTTAATTTGCAAAATGGTTGATTTAGTGTGCAAAAGAGTCAATTTGATTTACAAAAAATGTATTTGATTTGCAAAAGGGTAGATTTTATCAAAAGTGTTAATTTAATTTACAAAAGGGTGGAATTTGATTTGCAAAAGGGTTGCAAAATGGTTGATTTAGTGTGCAAAAGAGTCAATTTGATTTACAAAAAATGTATTTGATTTGCAAAAGGGTAGATTTTATCAAAAGTGTTAATTTAATTTACAAAAGGGTGGAATTTGATTTGCAAAAGGGTCAACTGGGTTTGCAAAAAAGTGGATTCAATTTGCAAATGGGTGGATTTTTAGCAAAAGCGGCAATTCAATTTGCAAAAGGGTGGATTTGGTTTACAAAAGAGTCAATTTGATTTGCAAAAGAGTGGAATTAGTTTGCAAAATGGTGGATTTTTAGCAAAAGCAGCAATTTAATTTGCAAAAGGGTGGATTTAGTTTACAAAAGAGTCAGTTTGATTTGCAAAAGAGTGGATTGATTTTCAAAAAAGTAAATTTGATTTGCAAAAGGGTAGATTTTAGCAAATGTGGCAATTTAATTTGCAAAATGGTGGATTTGGTTTACAAAAGAGTCAATTTGATTTGCAAAAAAGTGGATGCTTTTATATTTCATACTGTTCAAAATTTATTTCATATACTGGTTCACCTGTATCTCGCACTCTAGTCTTATTATATATTTACAAAGAGCATTATTTTCATTAAATATACACCTGAATATTGTAGTTTCAATTGTCTTTCAGCTTTATTTTGTTCCATTTGCCTTATTTGGTTAATAATTATGTCTTTCATTTTTTTTTATTGTTCAGTTTTTACTATTTGTATTTTTATATTTATCATTTATATTTACCATTTATAATATTACCATGTATATATGTCCTTATTCTTTTATATATATTATTTGTATTTTTACATATATTATTTGTAGTTTTTGTTATTGTAAAATGACTATTTTATAGTGGATTTCGATCCGTAAATAAATAAATATACATATATTTTGAATCACAGTATAGAGTGTTACTGTGTTAATTATTTCGTTAATTTATTAAATTACAGTTTTTTTTTTTTTTTTTTAATCAAAAACTNTGAATATTGTAGTTTCAATTGTCTTTCAGCTTTATTTTGTTCCATTTGCCTTATTTGGTTAATAATTATGTCTTTCATTTTTTTTATTGTTCAGTTTTTACTCTTTGTATATTTATATTTACCATTTATAATATTACCATGTATATATGTCCTTATTCTTTTATATATATTATTTGTATTTTTTGTTATTGTAAAATGACTATTTTATAGTGGATTTCGATCCGTAAATAAATAATTATACATATATTTTGAATCACAGTATAGAGTGTTACTGTGTTAATTATTTCGTTAATTTATTAAATTACAGTTTTTTTTTGAAAATCAAAAACTGAATTATTTTTGTTCGACCAATATATTGTTTTGAAAGAGATTTTGTAGTGGGAAGAGAAACACCACCCCTAAATTTTCACCCCTGTACCACTTGGCCGAATGATTTGATTTTGGGTGGACTTTGATTAATACAAAATCCGAAAATAAATTTTCCAGGATCACCCCTTACTGAAAAAAGTCAAATTTACACGTCCACGGAAAATTCGTTTAAAAATTGTTCTTATTTGAATTATTAAGGGTTGCAGGGGTGGTGCAACACTGGCAGTCTGTTTATTGTTTACTCGCCCCGTTCGCCGCCGCTGCGAGGTTAGCAAGGGGTGGAAACTCGTCACTCGGCAGGGGTGAATCTGTGACTGTGACTGCTTCCAACCGCGAGGACCAACCCCATGGAAAGACTGACGGACCCGGGCCGGGACTGTGTTCACCCTATGATGACTCGGAGGATAAACAATCGGGCCCATTTATTTTGAATCGACTGGTTGTTTTTTCTTAATTGACACAAACTAAAAAAAAAAATCTTTTACAATGTTAAACATGGAAGAACACCAGAGGAACATAATGGCAAAACTTCACGCCCTGAAAGAAATTAGGTGAGCCCTTTTATACATAAGTTTGTCATTTATATATAATTTACTTCGGAACTAGTTTCGGCCAGCTTACCCAAAACCCTACACAACTACCGTTTTTTCTCAAATTTTACCAAAACAATAGAAAAATTTGCTTACAAAAGTGCTAATTACGGAAAAGGCAGGAGCACAAGACACCCTAAAAAAATTCCTAGTATAATATCACATACCATCATTTTTCATGACCATCATAAAGAATTTTTTCTTCTTTATACACTCAGTAAGAAAAAGGTCTCTAAACACCTAATGGTTTGCCAAAATAGGAGCTCCAAATTTCTTATTGTAGGTCATTGGATATAAAAATATTATTTTTGTAAATGTTAATATAATAGGGTGAGCTCTCGAGGTGATACGGACCAAGCTTGGCCTTCTTTGTATGTACTGACTCTGTAAGTAGTCTGGGCTGTACGTGACAGGTTCTCTGTGGACCTTCTTATCGTACTTTTGTTAGAGAAATACATTGAGCTGGAGTGCCTGGAAAAACAGTGGTTGTTGACTGGGTTCTTGGACACCTCAGCCTGGAGGGTAACGTATATACCGTCAAGGCTGCGTGACATCCCACTATTTAGGCAGCGTCAGTGGGTCGGATTGTCCGAGATGCTCTTGCGAGCAAAGAGCACGACTGATTGGTGGCCTCAAAGAACCTGAGCTGGAAATGAGGGATTGTCCTCACCCATTGAGGATTGGTCATATGCGGTTGACACTCCTCTTATGCAGAGGAAGGTTGCTTGATATGTCGCACATAATAGAGGTGTATCATTGCCTCCTGGCACAGAGAATGTGAGCACAGCAGTCGGTTTTTGGGCCCCCTGTGCCGTTTTTCAAAGGACATGGGGGTATTTTACTGAATTTAGTTATATTCTATGTGTTTTGTCATTATTTGTTTTGTTTGAATGTGTTCATTTAATAGTGTGAGTGATGAGCGTTGATGGTGAAATATAGTGTCACCAACACCCCTCCAGCAGTGTGTGTGCTTAGGGTAGATGGAATATTTATAAAAGTACCTCAATGACCCTAATTTAGGTTAGATTATTAATACTGTGTACAGGTGAAGAAATATCCAGTATTCCACCGACTAATCAGAATGAGTGCAATGCATGAATGTATTTATTTGTGCGACTGAATTATCCAATTTAAGTAGTATTAGGCTAGATTATAATTTGCACACATTTGGGACTGAAACCTAGCTGTCAATAGACCACCCACATAACGGGGTGGGTGAACTCCCTTATGTATAGAACCCATTGGCAGTACAATTGGGGAGTGACTACCCTTCGGGGTGAAAGACAAAAATTTACCATTTTCATTTTCTTGGAACTTGTAATCCCCTAAAGGCTTTATTTGTTTTTCAAATCTAATTAGATTTGGTAGTTTAATCTGTCGACTATACTAAATGAGTGTGTAAAAAAAGATCTCATCTTGCCTTCAGTTTTGTCTTAAAGTTTGGTTAAGCAACATGAGTAAAATTTCAAATTTTGGCAATAATACACCATTATTGGAAACTTAAGTTTTCCATAGCCGAAACAACCCGTTTGGTGTTTTGAGAAGAGGATCCTCTCTCTGAACAAACAATGTGCAAACGGTTCAAGAAATTTGAAGCTGGCGATATCAGCCTCAAGAGGAAAGAGGGTTCTGGACAAAATCATCTTTTGATAAGGGAATCTTTGCGGGACTCTGAGACCCAATGAAAAGTGCTCAAAAATCAGCAAGAAAGCTTGGAGTTCCCGATCCACCATAAATCATGGACTCCAAAACTTGTGGAAAGCATCTAGCAATGGTTAGATTGCAATCTGCAGCTCTACTAGTTCTAAACAATGCTCTCTGTATTTTGAATTTACAAAGGCATAATTCAGTACAAGTTTATTTTAGAAAGTTGTACAATTGATTCAAAACTTTATTGTAAGCAGTTACAACAAAATGTTTGGTGTTTGACCCAGTGTTGCTTGGGATTAGTAAATAGAAATCGGGTTTTGTTTCAACAAGATAACATCCGTGCACACACTTTGCTACATGAGACAAAAAGTTACAGAATTGGATGGAATTTAGCTTCTCCCTCACTCTGCTTACAATCCAGACTCAGCACCCTCCGACTACCATCTGTTTAGCTTCATGGCTATTTTCAAGTGAAAACTTTTAATTATCTAGATGAGGTTCAAAATGAGTTGGTGTTGAATCGAGATGGCAACAAACCATAGAATAGTACATTGAGTATGTACACACAAAAATATATATGTCGAAACAAAATTATTTTTAAATTAGCAAGAATAATATTTTTTATGACGCCCTATTATTATTTAAAGGCTTTTGAGCATGATTTAATTTAAAGGTTATTTGTTTGCATAATAAACCTAACTTTAGCTATAATAAAAAAGGAATGATGTAAGGGGTGTATGCTACACTGCAGCCAAGGGAGACAAGACAGTATTACTGACCATACTGTCACTTCTTAAAATGCGAAATTAAGAGAGTGGGTTGCACCCTCAAATGTTACCCCAGAGCAGATCTCGTTCGCCCTCCCGTGCCCTTACTCAACCTGCACCCCCCATTCTATAGCACATTAATATTGGGTGGTATAATCTTAAGGCTTATTTATCTAAGAAGATTAAGAGTAACTGCAAAGTATCAAAAGAAGTTGATAAACGGGATGTTTGAGTTATTTAATATTTGAATCGGCATTGATCTTTTGCGGAAAATGGCTGCCACTGATTTTGAGGGAGCTGGTTTAAAACTGTTATTAACGAGCCAAGCGGTGATTTTTTTTAATGCATTGTGAATTTGCTCTTGTAATTAAAGAATTAATATTCTTTCCACGACTCAAAATGACAATGTCACCCACATATAACATGGCATTGGAAGGTCAACTAATTTAATGACGTGATTAAAGAACAAGCAAAATAAGGGGGCCATAATGACTTTGAATACGTTAATTGAAAGGCAAAGAAATTTTTTCTTAACACTTAGGCAAATACTTTTGTTTTAAAGTTCACTTGTACGATATTATCTTAATAGCAATCATGTTTTGCTTAGTAAGTCTGATATTAGCCTTCAATGCAGAAATACCACGGTCCACTAAGGAAGATTTGTTAGTCTGTATAACAAAGGAAAATCATCTTGTGAAATAGGAAATGTACTTAACAAGCAACCTTTACAATTCATTACATCATATTCCAGTATAAGGAGCTCGGTAATGCTGAAATCAGACTGTGTTTAGGGCGGCCAGAAAAATTAAACACCATCCAAAAGTGTGCTGTTGCCATTTTGTGTCAATTGTGTTAGTCATTGGTTAAATGCTGAAAAGTGTCTGACAGACCAACCCAGTAAGGTTAGGCAGATCTAAAAAAATTTAGAATAGGTTGTCCATTTTTAACTAATATTCACTTGGAAATGTTTTTTCAGTCTGATGTAGGCGTATTGCTCTAACATACAACTATGTTGGATTGTGGGATGTGCAGTCATACAGAAAACACAGCGTAGTGCTCAATTCTTTAATTTGCCAACGTTTCGAATGGTTCTTTTTCTTTTTTGAAATTCTTTTTCAAGGCAACGCCTGGAATATGATTTTTTACATTATTTTACATATATTACATTTTTTTTACATCATTTTTATAGAGTGTAATTTCTTAATACTAATTTTTAGAAGGTCCGAAGTATTCGTGTGTCACATCTATTAGTACATTTCAGTCGAGCACATTAGGCAAAACGAACATATAAAAATACTAATGTTTAATACTATACGAGCAATGTTAAATTGAATTAATTATTGAAAAAGTGCATCAAATTAAAGCCCTTGATGCTTAATTAGAGTAGTATCGGCATGAAAAAGAAACTGATGAACTACCACTTGGAAACAAATTATGGCTACAGTTTTAAAAACCGGAAAAAAGTGGGCAAATGTGGCTCCACCCTTCTTACCTATTCCAGTAAAAAAAAATCTTTCAATATTAAAGAACAAAAAATATCTACTCCATTGTCTAGTCGAAAAATTTAAAATTTAATAAACTTGTAAATTCCATTTTATATTGCTCACATAGTATTAAAAATTAGTATTAAGAAAGTAAATTCTATAAAAATGATGTAAAAACAAATGTAATATATGTAAAATAATGTAAGATATCATATTTCAGGCGTTGCCTTGAAAAAGAATGAAAAACCATTTGAAACGTTGACATATTAATGAATTGAGCATTATGCTTGTATGTCTGCACATTCCACAACCCAACATCGTTGAATGTAAAGTCATAAATAAAAGATATTTAACATAAATGTTTTTAGGTGTTCATGTTGGTTTTTTTTTTTTTTTTTTTTTGCATTATGAACTATGCATATTAGCCATGTGACAATTCGTATATGTGTGTTCAAATTTGGGGGGGGGGGCTATTGTGAAAAAAGGGCCAGAGGCGACGGTGGGAATCGAACCCACGACCGCGGCGTGAGAGTCTCTCATGCTAACCACTCGGCTACCGCGGTCCCCAATTTTCACATTATGAAACAATTGTTAAATCAATTTTCAAATATGTTTTTCATAATGTGAAATTAATAAAGGCCTTGATGATGACCGAATAGGTCAAAAGCTTGGCAGTAACAACTGACTTTTTTTTTCTTCAAGACCATACCTTGATCCAGCTCGATCTTGAATTATTTATTTTCATTTCTTTTATTTTAATAACATCCTTAATTGTAATCTTTTATAAGGTATTGGTTGAGATAAAAAAAGTCAGTGTCACGAGCGGGATTCGAACCCACGACCCTCGGCTAAATACGCCGATGCTCTACAACTTGTTGGTTTTGGCTGGTCTTACTATTTTTTTTACCGTTTATTTGTCGTGTATCTTGTGTAAAATAATCTTAACAGTTTATGTGAATATTCAATAATAAATAATAAAAATTCAATACTTACAGTGTAATTTTAGTTGCAAGTTTGACCCTATCTCCAAAACAGTAATTTTCCAATTTTTATGTGTGTTGTTTTGTTTCAGAGCCAAAACTATAGAACTGGAAAAACTGAAGGCTAAAATTTTAGAAGAGGTCGAAGCCAAAGAAAAAGAAGAGAAATGCCTAACAGAGTACAAACAGGAAATGGATTTATTGATGCAAGAAAAGATGTCACACGTGGAAGAACTAAGGCAAATTCATGCAGATATAAATGCTGTAAGTCAAAAGGTTTACCTGCCAGTCTGGCAAGACTTACATTTGATAATTTTTCCAGATGGAAAATGTGATTAAGAAAGCTGAAGAAGCGAGAACTAGGTCTTTAGATAGAGCAAAAAGGATACACGAAGAGTACCGTCCATTAAAAGATGACATTGACAGAATGCGTAGAGATTATTTAGGACTTGAAAGATTGCCTGAGCTTCATGAGCAAGAGGCTGATTTAATTACGCCAGAGTTAGTGTCTGTATAAATTTTCCAATTCATCGTTCAGATTAAATTATTAATAGTAATATATATCCTTTTTATTTATTTCTCCTTTTTTAGCTTGTTCGCAAAAAGTTATCCAGAAAAAACTTACAAAGAGACTTGGAGACCGGATGTAGCTGCAATGAGCGGCTTTTTACACCCGCACCCTTCGACCTCAGCCTTCATGCCGCCTTTACAACCACCGCCTATGCCAATTATCGCGAGCACCAGTAAGGCACCTGATCCGCCTTTGCCCTCTTTACCAGGACCACCGCCGACGTTTAGGTTCGTTCGCTTATAATGTTTATCAATAATTGTTACACCGTTGTCAATTACAGGCAGCAGCCGCCTCCGATGAAATCCTGTCTGTCGTGCCATCAGCAAATACATCGAAACGCTCCGATCTGCCCTCTTTGTAAAGCCAAATCGAGGAGCAGAAATCCTAAAAAGCCAAAGAAGAAGGACTGAAAACGGGATAAAGGCAATTGAAACTTGCTATTCCTTTTGGTGAAAAGTTTTTACAAAAATTAATTTCCTTTTATATGATAGTTTGCTAGTGTTAATGTTAATATTGTTACCTGGAGAGAGACTTGATTCTTTCATAATCTTGTAAATTACAAAAATGAGTTCAGTAACATTCAGCTTTCTCTTTTTTTGGTTATCAATTTTTACAATTTGTTGTTAGTTTATGTTATCCCCTATATTCATTTTGAAAGGCATTTAAGTAAAAGATTTCATTAAGTAATCATTTTATTAATTATTTATATTTATTAAATATAAATCCAGACAAATCAAAAGGGAAATATCCACTTGTTAATTTTCTCATTACAAAATTTAAGAAATACCATCAAAATGAATGATAAAAAACAAAACTTTTTCTCTTGTTTTTGTTGTCCATTTTGGTAACTTATTAAACTGATGAAAGAATTGAATTGAGAATGAGAGAGCTTAGTGTTGTTTCGACTGACTTATTTTCTGTTTATATTGCCATATTAAAAAGTCAGTCTAAAAAACGATCGCGTTAAAATTTATTGTAAGGTGACAAAATATTTGAAAGTGGGGAAGGCACATGTCCTCAGGTACTATTGTTTGCTCGTAGTATGCAGGCAGAAACTGCTGGACTATCTTGTTCCTAATCCTAGTCATTTTCCTAAGTTATTATTTATTTTTTTGTACTTTTTTAATACCTGGTTTTATTTGTTGTAATAATTATAAAAGTGATTTTTTTATGTCTTCTGCTCTGAGGAATTTATTAATAAAGCGTAAGAGAGAAGAATCTTAAGTTTTGTTGTTTTTTTATTTTTATTAAGCAGTTATATTACTTTGTAAATATAAAAAGCAACTTGATATGTAATACACTAACGATGACTCCAAGCAAATATGCTTTAATGGTATCTCTTGGTGTTGTTGAAAAATCAACTGCTACTTGAAAAGGTTTGTTTGGTTTTAAAACGAAGTTCATGTTGTTACTTGAATTCCGTAATCTTTCTTACATACCCTTGCATAAAACATTGAGGATTTTCCCAGTAGCTTGGGTCTTTTTCATGTTTTGTCAAAGCGCATTCTCATGAGTCAAATTTTGTTGATCAACTAAAATCAGACAAAATCTATCGTGAGAAACATTCTACATTGTTTCAACTACTTTCAACAAGGCCGATCGGCTACCTGCATCCCAGCCCATTTCAACTAGTTGGCCAGACCTGGCTCCATGTTGAATAAATCGGTGCTGCCTTGACAATCCTTCAATAACATTAAATAAATTTTTGTAAATTGGCAAATGTTTGCTTTTCTGTGTAGATAAATACTGTCCTACATACAAAATCAATACAGTAAGGTAAAAGGTATGTGTAGGTACTGAAATTAAAATTCGAAATTGTGATAATTTTTTTATTTAGCGCTTAAATAATATAATTTACTTATATTTATACTATAAAAATATTATACAGGGTGTCCCAGTTCCTTCTGACGAAACTCAGGGAATCGATTCTACTCTTCGTTTGGAGCAAAAAATGCCCAGGAGAAAATTTTCGGAAAGTTCTCTATTTTGAAGATATTCGTCAATTTAGGTTTTTTTCAACTTTTCACTACGTTACAAAAACACATAAAAACGCTTACAACTTCCAAAATGTTGAGACTATAACAAATCCAATTACACCATTTGAAAGAACGCTAAATTTGCTGTAAGATACATCTATTTGCAATAATCTGAATGATATAAAATGTTAGCCAATATCAGTTGGAACATGTCAAAATTTAAAATTTTGGTCATGATTGCACGTTCTACTGAGGTTAGGGAACTTTCAAAATAGGGAACTTTCCTAAAATTTTCTCCTGAGCATTTTTTGCTCCAAATGAAGAGTAGAATCGATTCCCTGAGTTTCGTCAGAAGGAACTGGGACACCCTGTATAGGCAATTAAAAATAATATAAACAATTTAACATATTAAGTTAATGATTGTGCATAGGACCATTCTAATAAAACTTACATTATAAATCAACTAGTAAAACAAATAATTGTAGTAAACAAAAATAACAAATAATAAAAACATAATAATAGAAATAACATACTGAAATATTCGTAATAAAACAAACAATTTAATACAACTAGATTACAATTAATAAAAACAATAACATTACGCAAAATTTATACGATATAAAATACAAATATAAAATTATTGGAATAAATATATTATGTACACATACAGAACTACCAATATATGATTTAACAAAAATGTTAAAATTAGGAATGTCAAAAAATATTACATATTTTTCAATGTACAAAACTTATTAACTGAAGAAAAATAAAATTATATATTTTTGTAGTTACTAACTGTTGAAATATTTTTAGTCTTATGAGCATAATGTTGCTCATCATCATCTTCGTCTAACTCACTAACTAGTTCAAAATCATCAACAGCATTATAACTATAAATTTCTTGATCGGTCATATTTTTCAAATCTTATACTCATTTAAACTTTTTTCACTCAGTGAAGTTTCTTATTTCTAAAAAAGCTAAGGACATCAAGAAGAAACAAGAATTGATAAAACCTATTTTTTATAATAAAATTAGATAAAACAGTTGAAAGCTTAAACAGCATAACTTACATAAACAGAATAGTTCAGTCAGTTTATTTAAAAAAGTATTTACCATGCTGTTATAATTTTAGTTAAATATATCTTTACATACATACATTATAAATGTGTGATTTTGTCACTAATGAAAATTACTGCTACAATTGTTTATTCCCAAGATAATCTTTAAAATAGCACAACACAATTTAGGATAAAATACATAATAGATATAGCAAAAAGACGATTTTTAAATTATTTTGAACTAATTTTTAAAGTTATTTGGGCTTTTTTTTAAGTTGGTATAATGATGAAAGCTGTTTTTTTTTTCTTGTATGTGTGTTTATATTTGCGGGGGATGAGCCGAGAGTCTCTCATGCTAACCACTCGGCTACCGTGGTCCCATAAGATGAAGAAAGCTGTATTACAAGAAAATTTAGCTTTATTTTTTGGAAAACTTATTTTTAACAATCTATGAAGTGGCACTTGTCAAACTCCGCACTAAAATGAAGCTGGTGATTAGTAACGATGAACAAGTCAATAGCAGGCACTCAAATAGACCTAAGTGTAGAAACCAAAGGGAATTCACAAAAACCTGGACCTACCAAGGTCAAATGAAAATAAAGAGAGGGGCATCACAAGCTGGCAGCCGCCGGGTTCTTAGGCTTGCACTACCATGCTCCAAGTAGTGCCCATCGGGCTGATAGTGTTAATAAGAATTGCTGTATCTACTGTTTTGATAGTTTTGAGAAATTCTAATGGAAGCTGTCATTATTTCTTGTGATACTAATTTTAGACTTAATGGTTTAGGTGGCAGGTGAAGAGGTGTAGGTGTCATAAGTAAATCTGATGTTCAATATCAATTAATTAAGGATTTTAGTTGAGATAAAAAAGTCAATGGCACGAGCGGGATTCGAACCCATGATCTTCAGCTAGATACGCCGCTGTTCTACCACTTGAGCTATCGTGACCTTGATCCACTCGGACACTAACTTCCCATCTCAACCCCACCTTCTTTTGAGTTTCCCTCCTTTAATCTGCTCATTGACTTTTTCATCTCAACTAAAAACCTTAATTAATTGATATTGAACATCAGATTTATATATATTAATATATTAATTGGTCAAGCAGACCACGAAATTAGTGAACTTAATATCAATTAAGTTGTGAGGTTTGAACCTTGGAGAGATGTTTCACAATTTTTAGACTTTTCTTTATTGGAAACAATCCAAGTTCCATCATCGTTCCTGAGAGGAGCTCAGCCAACGCTAAGACACAGTATACATTTGTTCTCATCCTCTGTTGACAAGCTTTTTAAATGTGATTCATATGAGTGTTGATTAAATAGTTTTATTCCTTTTTTCAAAGTATGCAAAAGTTTGCTGTAATTTTGTTTGTCAATGACTGAACTAGTATGTTGCCAAAGGTTTCTAGACTTTCTTTTTTTCGGATAATTGCCTTATGTAAAGAAAATTGTAGATTTTCAGGCTGTCCAATTAGGCTAAACCAGCTTTACCGAACGGTCGTGCTGTATAATTAACTTTAAAATAAAAACAATTGATTTCACATCGAAATTTTTATTTTGAAAAACATAAGGCTTATTTTTTTGTTTTTTGTTTTCTTTTTCTGCACAACATGACAGACAACATAATTTTTTTCTGGGTAATTGGAACATCTAAACAACAATATATATTCAATGAGTCGTGACTCATGACAAAAGTTAAATTTGTTGTTGGTTAAGCTTGTATTCAGATGCATGTCGGGCAAGGAGGGCACGGTTGGCACGGAGCGACCATTGTGCAACAATCAGCCCTATTAACACAAAAATTAAAATTATAATCAAACATTTAATAAGATATTATATCTTTATAATACGTTATACTGACCCTCTTCCACAGTTGTTGGGATCAGTGCCGGCTGGACATACAAGTGATCCTACTGGTGGTTCTCCTTCACTGTCAAGACATTCAGCAGGGTACAAGCAACAACAGCCTGAAATTTTACAATTTTTCATAAAACAAAAAGAAATCACTAATAAAATAGAATGTGTACCGATGCAATGTCCGAGAGGGTCTTCTTCCAACCGTCCTGGCGGGATGTAGCTAATAAAAAAAAAAAAAAATTACTTCTGTTATAATAAAAATAATAATTTGCTAACAGACCTTCCATTGTAAATAGTATTTCCATCTAAAGGTATGCAAGGTTTCTCGTAGTATCCTTTCTTCACCCATGGAAGGTCTTCCTTTGGTTGTGGTTCCCAAGGCATGTAAGACAACTTGTGGACCGTTTCTCCATCGAGGGGTGAATCAGGAGGAAGATAACTATACATATGCTTTAATTGGCGAATTGAATCAAATATAAAAATCTACTTACGTAGCATGTGGCTTAAATGACTGAGGAGGTTCAAAACGTGACATGTCAGGGTTCTTGTATGACATCGTATGAACCGTATCATCTGTAGAACATTTGGTTACAATAGTTGTCAAGTGTTTGGGCAATTTTTATTTACTTACTTTCCATTTTTGACTTCGACAGACCGAGTGCGCTGGGTTGAATGATCTTTCCCATAGTCTCTATCGGCTTTGGTGTATAGTCGTGCCGGTGGGTCGTCATTTCAGAAATTGGACCCTCACCGCCCATCTTGTGATCCTTTGGATATTGAATTTCTGGCTTTTTTAAATCTGGCCATGCTCCATAACTCATCTAGGAAATGTAATTAAATCGTTAAACTGTAATCATTAAAAAAAATTCATATAAAAAGTGAACAATTGTTTAATTATATTTTTAAACTGAGATCTTGGTCGAGATGAAAAAGCAAGTATCACAAGCAGGATTTGAACCCATCATGACCTTCGGCTCAATATGCCACTACAACCAGTTGATCTATTTTGACTAGCTAAGCTATCAAATGGTGTGGCATGTTGAGCCAAAGGTCGTGGGTTGGATCCTATTTGTGACATTTGCTTTTTCATCTCAACCAAGACCTTAGATTAAAAATATAATTAAAATAATTAATATGGTCAATTATGACGGCTAAACACATATATGGAGTGTACTATATATTTGATCAAAATCTATCAAAATATAAAGTAAAATTAAACCTTGTGAGTAGTTTTGTCTGAAAACTCTCCGGCTGTTGTTAAGTTCTCTTTTGCAAAAGCCGGCTTGCCCCTGCAGTTTCTGACGAGTTTTGGATCGAAAGCTTCATATGACATATTGTACGTTGTTCCGTCTGGCATTTTTATCTCTGGAGGTCTATAAACCTTCAAAACAACAATGAATTTTTTTAATAGGATTTTTATTTTGTTTAATGAAGCATAAATACCTTTAAAGGCTTATACGAGATCGGTTTCTCTGGTTGAATGTATCTCATCCTCTAGAACAACAGAGTTGTAATTTTTGTAAAAATGGTTGTATTTTTTTTTCACCTTTTTTCCGCATATTTGTTGACATTTGCATGGCATGCCTGGTCGATGGCCAGCGGGCCATAATCCTGATGCCTAGAAAAGTAAATAAGGAAAAAAGATTGTACAGTAAAATAATGTTATAATAATCGATGGCTTGGTATAAAAGACAACTAAAAGAAAATAATAAAATTTTGATTTGTAGTTCGTTTGAAATTGGGTAAGATTTTATAATTTACCCTTGGCATGCAATCTTGCTGTACTTCTACCATTTCTGGAGTCTTTTCAAGTACAGCGCTTAATTAAAAGTGTTCCTTGACTCACAAAACAACACAAACCAAATATTCTTGTCTACAAACCGTCGGAAAGCAATACTTTCCTATAAGAAATATAAACAAATACTTTTGAAAAATAGCCAAAAACTAAAAAAAAGCTTAGGTGTGAATTCTGAAAATTTAACTATTTAAACTCCATATGGGAGGCATATGTTTTCAAAATTAATTTCCAATTTTAATTTAAAAAATCAAATAAATAAATAAAGTCAGAACATATGTAGATATGCTGATGTTTGTTCTGTTATTTATTTGATATTTTTAGGCCTAACACATACGTGCAATTTTCAGTTGTGCAAGTTTGGTTGCAAGAGTCACAAGCAACTTAACAGTTTGATTTTTTTTCCTCGGGGTCACTAGTGACCAATCTCCATTTTTTCCATCACAACCTTAAAGATCTTTTTCCCCCATCACCTAGCCTTGGGGGGAAAAACAGCTACTTGGCATGCCAAAGAACCCTCATCAAAACTGGCAAACTCACTGCTACAGTTAGAGAGGACTACATTTATTGATATGTGAGAAAACGTCTACATAACAGGGGTATAAACCATGATGACTCCGTATATAGGTTATGCAATGTGGAAAAAGGAACTGCCACCCACATCATCTTCAAATGGGAAGCATCCACTCAACTGAGACATAACACAGACTCATGAAAAAGAATTGTAGCCATAACAATTAACGAACTACCACTTCTTAAAAGAAGGATAGAGTCAGAACACTGTAGTACTTGGGAATTCAAAAACCCTCTTTCTAGTACCCTCTTATAATCATCATCATCATTACCCCAACTCCCCATTTTTGCAAGGAATCACACATCAGAAAACTCGGGAATTAAAAGACAAGTCTAAATAATGGCTGGCTCACAGTTCCTTTACACTATGCAAAGCGTATAGCTTTACCATTGTATTTTTTTTACGGTACTTCTTGGTGACAAATCTACCCAAGACTTTACCAATGAAAAGTGGTATGCCAATGAGTCAATGAGGGAAAAAAGGGATTATAATAAAATGTAATTAAATATATAAATTTATACATAATATTTCACTAGTTATTTTTAATTCCTTTATTCAGATTTTTCAACATCTTCACGGTCTTAAATTCTGCACAGTAATGATAAATTATCTATAAATTGGAAGGTTGTAAATTAAAACATTGCTTTTTATGATTTATTATCAAATTTGAAAGAGTACAAAAATTATAAAGATAGTTACATTAAATAATTACAGTTTATACTTTGAAAATGGATCTGTTGCATATTTTATAAAGCCATAACACAATATTACACTGGGTATTACATGGAAAATGTAAATTGAACACTCAATGTGATGGCACTATTGCTAAAAAATAAAATAAAAAATACAATGAAAATTTTTCATAACAGGAAAATTGAACAATTAAATAAAATAAATATTGTGACAAATAATCTATATTTTATGTATACAATACAATATTAACATAACATCAGAGGTGATAAAAATTAAATATAAAAGTATAAAAAAAACAAAGGTTTAAATTATTTTTTTACGTTATTCAAATTATCACAGATTCAAGCTGTTATTTGCCTTGCGTATGTCTTTTTGAAACACAACAAGCAGCTTTCAAGAAGACACTCCTGATATGCCTTCAAGTGGTCACCATTTCAATAATCGGCAAGATCGGAAAACTTGGCCCCATGGTGAGTGTGAACGACGGCGTTGAATCCGTTGACATCGTCAGCAGTGTACTTGACTGTGCGAATCGTGCCGTCAGGGTCGACAACGCTGTACTCGCCTTTTACCTTGTCGCCATCTCTTTCCTCATGGGCTGATTTCATATCACCAGTGTGGGGATCCTCAACACCGTACTGAAATGCGTATTTTGGGTGTGCCTGGAAAAGACAAATTATTATATGACACAGTGATTATTTGTCATTATTTAATTATTTAAACATTTTGTAAAGATATGTAAAAAAATAACAATTAAAAAATTTAATGTTCCTTCTCACTTGACAATTATTTTCTATTTTTGGGTTAAAAGTTTTATCATGGTATTTTCCCTGATTCACCTGTTTGTTTCAGGTAGAAAAAAATTATTTTCATTGAAACATTTCACAAAAGTCAAACTCATGATTGATTGATTGATTTATATAAGCATGCACATACGTATTTATAAATAATTTAATTGAGGATCGATAGGATACTCAATATTCCACACTGCTCACACTACACTTTCACTCTAATAAATACATTCACTCATGGTACACAATGAAATATCTACCAAGTACATTAATCAATGAAACAGCCATCCCGAAAATTGGAACAGAGGACACAAAGACTTCCTACCGTGCTCAAGCATGATTCTCATATCAGGTGATATCCTACACGCTCTCTATAAGGAGCCAAGGAATAACACCCTACAATTATGTGGTCCACAACCCGGAACCATGCCAGACATTTACTTTTGAGCAAAAAAAATATATAAAAAATACCTTGCATGGCTTATATGAACAAACATCTACTTACAGTATTGAAACTTATGATTCTTATGAATCACAATCCCAATATATCTCATTCTGCAATTAAAATGTAAGTAGACGTTCATATTTGTTAACCTAATTAATTATTAATAATTGTTTCAAAGTCCAAGTGAAGGGTATTTATTTATTTTTGAATGCTTGGTGTGCATGTTAACGCAAGATACTGACTGATTTCTTTTCTTTCAAATTAGCATTATCCCTGATTTTTTATTACACAATTATACATTAAAGGCTAAATAATTATATTGAGATGTGGCCCACAAATTTTTATCTGTTATCTTGTGGTTCTCTTCTAGTTAAGATACAATTTAATTTTTATTTATTTATTCTGATGAGAAATTGATAGGAACTTACATGATAATCAACATTGTCCTTATGGTGGCCAAGCTGTATTCGTTCTTCAGGGGTTTCGTTCAGCTCAAACCCTGCGTACGACTGGGACTGGTGGTTATCTTCGTATCCGTAGGCTCCTACATCGTCGAAATCTTCTTCTGAATTGGCTTCATCTGAACGGCCATCCCCTTCTTCACCCTGAGGAAAGCTGGAAACGCTGGCGAAAACCAGACCTAAAAGGATCAACCGTACAACCTATAGGACAAGGGAAAAAATGTAAATTTCTAATGGTTTAGTTTTTTTTTTTTTTTTTTTTTTGTCCGGGTTTGTTTGGTTGTTTTAGGTTAATATTCTTAGCAAGAGTAGCCTAAAATCTTGATTTTGGATGAATCAAGGTATTGTTTAAGGTGTTCTGTCAGCTGAAGGAGGGTTTGGAGAAGAACAGGAGAGAAATCCCTGCAATATTTTCACTTGAGAAGCTAAGGAGGTGGTGGTGTTTTGGTTTCTATGGAAGAAGGATGCACCAATTTGATCTTCATCGAGAGTCCCTAACAGTTGTGCTGTACATTTAAGATGTGTTATCAAAAGTTGTTCCTTATATGCCACTAATTAATTGGTGATGGTTTTTATGCATGACAATGCAGGCCCCACACAGCTAGGATCATCGGTGACTATTTGGAACGGGCTTCAATTCAATGTTTGGAATGACCAGCTTACTGGACTTAAATCCTATCAAACACCTTTGGGATGAGAAAGTCAAAGAGGGTAAAAAGTCGCTCGGTGTTGCCAGAGAATTTGCAGGAATTAAGAACTGTGCTGTTGGAGAAGTATGAAATTATTCCACAGCCTATATTCAAAACCTCAAAAAATTGATGCCATATTCAAATGCAAGCAGTGATCAACAGAAGAGGTGGAAATACTCTGTACTGAATGGAATATTTTCTTCAATGATTCTGTAGCAGTACTTTTGGTAAAATTTGTTTTACTCAGTTTAATTTTTCATTTATTTTTATTTATTTAGCTATATCTTATATTTTTCTTTTTAAAATATCCCGTAAACGACAACAAATAAAAATTATGTTTGCAAGTATTTACTAAAATTTGCCTGACCAAATTGACCATCTTGGTACATCGTGCATTACTAATGTACAACAGTCAAGTTTTAATGCTATTTACTATATGAAACTGCTTTCTCCGTTACGTGAAAATAAATTTCGGGATCATTCGGTATTTATTGTTTAGACACGGTACGATCCTACTTCAGCAGGAAGCTGCCCCGAGAAAAGCGTAATGCGCCATTGTGTAAGGGGGTCAACGCTAATAGAACTGGCTCAACTGCTTGCGCAACATTTTTCCATTCTTCTGTTTACACATCTGTCATGCTATAGTCAAAAACATGAAGTGCACAAAGGAAAGAATCGCGTAATTTCGAAGTTTTGTTGTCGCATTTTTAAACGAGGACAAGTGTGTAACTAAAAAGCAATTTGCAAATTAAACAGCAACCCTTTGAATGATATGAAAGGAGTCATGCCGTCTCAAAACACGACTAAACGTGCCAATTCGGCGGTACCGGAAAATTGAGTTGTTTGTACGTTTTGTGATGCGTACGCTTTTATTTATTTCTAATGAATACAACAAAAAGTTATAAGTGTACATGAGATCCAGGGCAAAAAGACAGCCCAATCTACTGTTAGTACATTAAAATTGTGTGTCTTCATTAATTTTTTGGCTAAATTTTAATTGAACCTTGTTACCTATTTACCAGTAAATAATAGTAAATATGACTTTGAGGTGGGATAAAAAGATAGCAATTAAATGTGTGGTGTTTAGTGACCGTTAATTAATGATTATTCGGAGATAGTGGGATGAGTTCTGGTGTGACGTAGGTTGTAGAAAAACAGTTTCTTTATCGTTCCAACGTTTCGATCTTTATTGAGATCATCTTCAGGAACAGCAGAAAGAAACACTTTGAGCCTTGAAACGTTGGCACGATAAAGAAAATGTTTTTCTAAAACCTACGTCACACCAGACCGCATCTCACGATCTCCGAATAATCATACCAATTAAATAATTTCGAAATGATAGATTATCTGAACCGTAAGGACTGGATAACTTTATATAAATTCTATGTAAAAGCTGTATACATCGAAAAGTACTTGTGCACGAATTTAACTTTTAACCGTTATTTTTCATTGAGTATGTGTTTTATACGCATCTTAAATCTAAGTGTTTGAAAACGGTATTTTTTAAAAATTTAATCCGTTCTATGTTTCTTTTTTATTTATTATAATTTTTTAATCAGTAGTTTAATGTAATGTTATAATTGCTTATATTAATATTATTGTTTACGCCAGAGGCATTAAAATAGTTCTAAAATGTGTTTATTCTACCTGTATTTCTAAACAATTTTTTTAACGTTTTTGGTATAGTCAGAATGCACGGTTTTATTTAGCATTATTTACACTCATTAAATTCACAAGTTTTCGTGGTCCGCTTGACCAATTAATATCTTTCAATTAATTAAGGTTTTTAGCTGAGATAAAAAAAGTCAGTGTCACGAGCGGGATTCGAACCCACGATCTTCGGCCAGATACGCTGCTGCTCTACCAATTGAGTTATCGTGACCGATCCACTCAGACACCAACTCCCGAGGTCACGATAGCTCAAGTGGTAGAGCAGCGGCGTATCTAGCCAAAGGTCGTGGGTTCGAATCCCGCTCGTACACTGAATTTTTTTAATCTCAACTAAAAACCTTAATTAATTGAAATTATTTACACTTTTAAATTGTTTTTGAATTTGAAGTACAACACTTTCAATTTAGTCACATGTAACAATAAGATACGATACTTGTGTCATTATCCCTTTCACTGTCACTACGTAGAATATCTCTAGGGAATTCGTCGGGACGCGAGCTTTGGATTTGCTGATCCACCAATCCACGGTGGTTGGGAGGGTTTTGTGAAAATTGAGGTTACGGGAACGGATTTCATCTTGAACGAAAGGAATATTTAAGCATGTGTACTTACATAAAATGGATCATCAAGGGAGTTTTCGTAAGATTAAGGACTGGGCAGTTTGGATGCGGCAGATGTTGGAACGTTTGGCTGAACCCAATACTTCCAGTCCGTATGTTCATATAGGCTTAACTATAGTAAAGTAGCCTTTTATTTTTGAGAGGTAAGTCAAGAAATTGTGAAAGAGCCCTGTCAATTTTTGTCGATCTACAGTCGAGGTACCACACATTGTCCGTTGGGAGGAGTGATCTTTTTACGGAGAGTGAATGTAATACGGGTGTCTTTGTGTTACATTTTATTCTTTTCTTTTCACACCAAGACTCTAGTAGTGTGAAGTGTTGAAGGTTTCGAGCAGAAATCACAAGATCGGAGTTATAGACTGGATACTGTCTGCAAATGTAAGTGTTGTGGTTTGAGGATATAATGGAATGTAAGATGTGTACACCTGGTGTAGTGTGGGGGCCACAACGTTACCCTGAGGAACACCAGCACGGATAGGGAAATATGCAGGGAGGACATTGCCTTCAATGACTCCGAAAAACCGATCAGTGTGGTAACTGAGTAGTATGAGATAGTAGGGGGAGGGAAGGATGCCCTTCAGCATGGACAGCAAACCCAGGTGCCAAAATCGATCAAAAGCTTAGCTTACATCGAGAAAGGCCCCGGAACAGTAATGTCCTATCTTAAGGGATAGGGATAGGGATAAGAGATGCGGCCACAAGGCCTACCGCACCTCGACCTAAATAGATCTATTGTGCTCCTCTGTTAATTGTAACTCACTGGCCAGCTTCAGGCTATTAACCAGCCTCCACAGCCTTGCCAGCGGTTCCTTGGTATAGGATCTTGCTTGTGGTTTCGGGCAGTCCAGCCGTAAGGACCGATTAGTTTCAACTCGAGTACTAATGAATGAAAGGTCTCCTCGAGATGGGTGTCTAGTTATTAATCCATATTTCAAACATCTTCACTGACAATGCGTACTCTTGATTCATAGCCAAAAAGAAGAAAAACTCTTTCCAACTTCATATAAATGAGGCGTTCATATAAAACTTAACATGGCGTTCAAAGAACGAATAGGTATAGGGATAAAAGAGGCGGCCACAAGACATTCTGCACCTCGACCTGAGTTGATCTATTGTGCTTCCCTATTTTTTATAACTCATTAGACAGCTTCAGTTTGTTAATCAACCTCCATAGCCTTGCCAGAGGCTTCTTAGTGTAGGATCTTGCTTGTGGCTTTTCCAAGAATCTGCACCTACTATAGACCTTCACAAAAACATAAAATGTGTTCTGCGGTTTCCTCCTCTTACTGGCAATATCTGCACAATGTTTCTTTTGTCTTTCAACCGGTGCATGTGTTTTCTTAAGTGGCAGTGTCTCGTCAGGAGTTCAACCAGAATCCTGGTTCGGTATCTCAAGGGAGGAGGAAATAACGTCTATATTTTTAGACAGTTGAGTGGCAGTTGCGAAAACCAAATTAATGGTCGGGGATTATATTTGGAGAATTTCGGATTGAAAGAATTCTTTTCAATAGGAGATTTTCTAATCTTTACCCAAAATGAGTAATAGATTTATTGACATTCAGATATACGAGTGTTTCCAGGCTATAGGAAAGTTGGTTGTACAAAGAACATAATAAAGTATAATCTATGGGTAGGGTTTTGCAATACAGCAACGTCTTCGAAACCTTTTTCTTGCCACTTGCCAAAACCTGTACATCATTTTACCATGTCATATCAATTTATTAACTTTTGAGGTTGTAAATCTATAACCTAATTCTCTCCAATATTTCCAACAAATTTATTTCGTTTACGCTGAAACTGACAAGTTACGCTTTATGATGTGTTAAATATAATTGTTCTGAGAATTGAGAAGACTTTGATCGGTTAATGGGATCGTAAAACAACCCAGGATATTGGCCGTGTTTAGAAAGGACTCGTTCCATATCGATTCGTGATGGTCTAACGAAGCACACTACAGACGATAAAATAATCTGCCGATCACGTTACGCTTATTGCTTTTCCGGCGGACTTGACCTCAATAAAACGTTTATTAGCTTTCATCGAATTTCCCCTAAAGTAATTAATCATCGTGATTAAATTTCACTGCCTTATAATACCACTGTAGGAAATATTTGATCTGCGGAAAGTATTAAAAATTGGTTTGATTGATGTGTTAATAAGGCAAAGGTAATTCCTTGGCGAAATTAAACAATAAACAAATAAAACCATAAACAAACATTGTAGCAACATATGTCAGTTACAAAAGTAATAAGGAACATGGAAAATTTCCTTTATCGTCTTAACATTTAATTTATCTCATATTTTAAAGTATTCATACAGAACAATAAGTCTTCTATATAACTTCAGAGAAACTGGAAATTCTCAAAAAACGTTTAAACTGTATGGAATGTATTAAAATTTATGTTCATTATACATAATTATTTCAACACTATCCAAAAAAGTGATTTATAAAAAGTTCCTTTGTTTGGTCAAAGTGCTGCCCACCAACCAAAGATGTGCCCTAAAGCATCTTAATTACTAAATTACTACTACTTGACCTTCTCCTAGATCGAAAAATTTGATTTGGTAGCTAATTAGAAGGCTATTTGTTTTGTTTAAAAGTTTTGTCTATAAACTGCTTGTAACTGTGTTCTTCTTCTTAACGCCAAAACTGTTAGTTTTGTTTCTGCAGATGCACGTGTTGTTCTTTTTAAATGACATTGTCTATGGACCGTTAAGTAATGCCCGTTGAGTAAGATTGTTTCTTTTGAGTGAAAGCAGTGAGGAGTGAAGGTCCTTTTTTACAAGGTAGAAAGCTATGTTCTTATTTGATAGGTGTATCTGTGTTTTAATGTCTTTTTACCCAGTTAAAAGCATCTGGGTTCGACGTAATTCTTATATATTTCTAGGTTAGTTTTTCCTTTATGACATGGCACCCAAGTAAACTTAATAGGGATTTAAAGATGACGAGCAACATATCTGTTTTTATTGGTTTACCAGTATGCCATTTAAGTGGGTGGTGACCATTTTGAAACCAACCAAAATGTATTTATTTTTTCCCATTTTTTATTTTTGTTTTTGCACAGATTGAAACTAGTCCCATCATTTTATGAGTTTTAACAGTGTTTCAAACAATTTTTGTAAGTTATAAATTGGTTGTTCTAGTATATCTTGACTTGAATTTTCAACTCGCCAAACCTTTCGTTTTTTGAAGACTGCCGACTATCAACTATAAAAATTAAAAAAAAAATCCATATTTATTTTAACTGCCCTGTTTTTACTCCTTTCAGATCAAGTTTTGATATGATATTATTAGCTTTAATTTCTGCTAATAAGCAAAATGAATAATAATTTTGTGGTCTGTATAAAAGGCTTCAGAGTAAAGACTCTCTTCACAAATCAACTGATATTTTATTTTTTATTTTGCTCCTTCATTTTATACATGTATACATTACTGTGATTTCAATGTAATTCTTGCACTTTTTATCGTTTTTGTTACTTTCGCTCGCTTATTTTTGCTATATGTGCACATTTGGTATTACAACCAACTTCCTCAGTACGCCTTAATCCGATATGACAGAGTAATTATAAATAAATTAATTGAAGCCCAAAGCACCCTTTGTTATACTCAAACCAAAACACTCTTCGAGGGTGAGAAATTAGAAAGGAGAAAAAACACACTTTTAAGAGAAATTGCACGTCTTTAATAGGCTAGCGACCCTTATTTTTGCGTTAAACTAAAACCTTTTTGCACGAAATGAAAGTGTAATTTTTCTAAAATCAAGTATCTTGCCTTTATGAATTTGCAACTGGCAGTTCCATATCCTGTTTGAAAACCTTCGTATTTTATGGATATTTTGCGTCAAAAACTGCCTCCTAAACTAAAACATCGTCTATGAACTTCATATTGTGAGAGGAATCGACGTGTTATTTTAGAGTAAATTTGGGCAGCAGCAGGAAAAATTCAAAGGATCAGAAAATCGTTTCTTCTGAAAAATTGTTTTTTCCCATATTTTCTCTAAAGCTCATCATTTTATTGAAACGAATTTTTTATCGTGTTCCAAAAACCAAAATTTGTAGCGAGCAATATTTGTAAAAAGGCAGAGAAATATAGATAATTTTTTTGTAAAAAAAGGGGTAAAATTTTGTTACAAATTTAGGTTGTTACCAAAAATTAAAGAAACTATATTTGACAAAACCCTCGCTTCGTAGTACAATAAGAAAAATAATTGCGCCTAATTGCGGTTGTTCAACCCTACGCACTTCTGTACACCCAAAGCATACAAGTGTGAGAAAGATATGGTTCAGCGTTGAAATTTTGGATGGAGAAACCATTTCGCTTGCTTAAATGGTAAAGACTGGTCAAAGTTGATAGTGTACATTACATAGATTTACAATTTATGATCCACACTTGTATAATAAAGTTTCTAGATACTATTTAAGTGTTTTATATATTAATTAAATGAATAAATGTGAACTTGGTTGATTTATCTACAATTATTTAGGCTAAGTTATATAAATTTTTAAAGTTACACGGCCAATTGTGATTTTAATTAAAGTAATTTTTGTTAAACAGAAGGACTTATCGTCCAACTACCCGTTAGGTGTCGCGGACGAGGGGTCAAGCGACACTACAATATTTTTTTGAAACAATTTTCATTTAACAACAGAGGGCATTGCCGGGATTCGAACCCAGAACCGCTAACGTGGCGAAAACGCATCGGACGTTTAACTACTCGGTCACCGAGTCCCTTCCACATGGCCAGTTGTTTATTATCATTTTCTGTACATTTTCGTCTGGCAAAATGATCCTAAAGTTTTCAATATTGCAAAATTTTCCGAAATATAGACGTAGAAATCATTCATTTAATTTACAGAACTTTTTTATTTATCTTCTATTACTATATTCTCCTTTTTGATGGCTTTATGAAGCAAAACTACGGTCTTTAGTTATAAGTTGTATATTATTGTATAGGTAAATAGTTAATGAATCTTAATAATAATGTGTGGTGGTTAGTGACCGTTAATCGATAATTATTCAGAAATCGTGAGATGCGGTCTGGTGTAATGTAGGTTTCAGAAAAACATTTCTTTATCGTGCCAACGTTTCGATATTTATTGAGATCATCTTCAGGGCCTGGGATTTACAAACATTGTTTACATTTAACAAATACATATAGGATGTGGAAAAAACTGAATTTATCCCAGGCCCTGAAGATGATCTCAATAAAGATCGAAACGTTGGCACGATAAAGAAAATGTTTTTCTGAAACCTACATCACACCAGACCGCATCTCACGATTTCTGAATACTTTATAATAATACTACATTGCCTCAATATCTGTAAGTACTTTTATATTCCCTTTTCCGTCGTCTCAGTATTTCACTTAAAACTTCAAATTTTTCTGTTGTAGAGCAACCATAGTGTAACAACAAATTATAATATGTATTATATAAATCAATAAATGGTAAATAAAAAATTAGATACAAAATTTATATAATCGGTTCAAATAACAAATGGGGAAATTTTATGTAATCTTTTTTATAAAAATAAATACAACCTGAGGCATGATGGGACAGAAGTGCAGTGCTTGACACTTTTCCTGGGCCGAAGGAAAAATTTACATCTTATGGAGCTAATAAGAAGCATAATCCTGTCTCAACGTGACCATTTTTATGAAAAGTATGGCCAATATAAAATGGAATAAATCAGGCCAGTTTCCCTTTTATTTGTCCCATTTTTTTAAGTTACTGGTTTGTTATTATATTCAAATTTATATTATTTATATTCAAAATTTATTTTACAGATTCATCTTATATGTTATATTGTAATTTATAATTTTTAACATAAAAGAAAAGAAGATTTTTTTTTTAAATTTGAAAGAGAACCTTGTTTGAAAGTTAAAAATATTATATAAATAAAATGAGTGCAGACAAAATTGTTTCTGTGTACTTAAGTCAATCTTTAAATTAACGTTTGTTTTTAAAAATCTTAATAAAATATTTATGTTATATATAATTATTCATTTTGTTCTCCTTTCTCTAAAATCACAAAATAAAAATAAAAACAATTAAAAAATTTAATTAAAACCACTAAATTTTTAAGAAATTTTTAAGTTATTCATTCTACATATTATTGTTTCTTAAGGCATAATTTGTAGCAATTTTAAACAAGCATATTAATTTCAAGATTCTCAAATTTTTTTAAAATTTGTTGTATGTGATGATTACACCAATTTAAATTTAGTTCCTTAAATTAATTTATCCTCTGGGGCTAGTTATAGTTTACTTGTTGGGCCACAGCACGAAGTATTTTCTTCACATCAATGTCCACTGGATCAGTCTTGTTGGTTTTGTCTCACAGGTTCTACTATGGTATGCTATTTGTAATTGTTTCGGTGCTGTTTTTATATACCCTTTTTGCCAGAAATTTGTCACTATCAGAATTTAAAAAATTTATATCCTGGAGCTGTTTTTTTCCACCCCTTTGCCTTCTAATATATCAATTTTATAAACAGATAAGTGTGCTATTAAAAATAATTAATGGAGAAGAATAAATTAATGTACAAGAAGATGTAGAGGTCAATTATGAGATCTATGTATGAAGTAGTTAAACAAAATCCAAAATGTTCTTATCAAATTGTATTTTGATTTTATATATTTGTTTTTTAGGGTTGTCATAAGTCTTAGCTAAGGTATATGTACATCTTATGGTATATTGAATTTATATTAATGGTGGAAGTCGGTGTCAGTTATTTCGGAGGGGTAGTTTAATTGAAAGAACTGTTTTATCTCACCTTTGACGTCATTTCTTTAAGAAGCACTTCTCATAGGACACTAAGACCAAGTGTTTAACGGCGATGGACGCTATAAGTGTTATATAGTCGGGGAAAGTCTCGTTCCCACCACGTCGTCGTTTTCGGGGGTGGCTCGGGTGGGAGAGGAAGTGCAGGAGCAGGCCCCAAGGACGTCCCACCCTCTTGGGAAATTCGACCTTTCACCATTTTTCCTACATCTTGCCAAAAACTGTCAACGGCCTTCGATTCGTTACTGGACGCGAAGAGGTTGCGCTTAGTTTTCCTAAACGTTCGGCCCTCGAGCGGATATAAATCGTTGGGCAAGTCTGACGGAAATTTTGGCCGGCCTTTGTCTCAGTTCTGCATTTCAGAGGCGTGAAACGCCCAGGGATTGGGGCAATCGGTTAAATGGTGGTTTCCTGTTGGTGGTTTCGGGCAGTCCAGTCGTAAGGATCGATTACTTTCAACTTTGTGTACTAATGCATGAAACGTCTCCTCTGGGAGATGGGTGTCCAGTTATTAATCCATAATTCACATCTTCACTGACAATGCGTACTCTTGATTCATAGCCAAAAAGAAGAAAAAATCTTTCAAGCTTCATATAAATGGGGCATTCATATAAAACTTAACATGGCGTTCAAAGAACGAATAGGTATAGGGATAAAAGAGGCGGCCACAAGTCATTCTGCACCTCGACCTGAGTAGATCTATTGTGCTCCCCTGTTTTTTATAACTCACAAGTCTGCTTCAGGTTGTTAATCAATCTCCATAGCCTTGTCAGAGGCTTCTTAGTGCAGGATCTTGCTTGTGGCTTTTCCTCTCCGAGTTGTAAGAATCTGCACCTACTACAGACCTTCACAAAAACATAAAATGTCTTCTTGTTTTTCTCCTCCTCTTACTGGCAATATTTGCATAGTGTTTCTTCTCTCTGTACTCTTTTCCGGTCGATGTGCTTACTTTGATGGCAGTGCCCCGTCAGCATGGTTAGGGATGGATTCCAATGGGTAACCAATGATGGAGGCATTATCCCTATTACCTTCCTTACCCTTCCTACCCTTTCCTTTTCCCTCCCTCTCCCTCCTCTGCTTTGGCAGAGGAGTCCTGGGTTACTGAACCCGCACCCCTCAGACATCGAGTGCACCACTAGAGAGTTCATATGACCTCCCGGGTGGGCGATCAGTCCCACTTTAAAAATAATACTGAACCACGGGAGTGGAGTACCCAAGCTGCTCCACTAATTGAGGTCGGGAGGGTACTGGCCAACCGGAGCTGGAGATAGAGAGCCTTCTCTATGTCTCCGAGGGTGGTGAAAGGCATGGCTAAAAGGCTGTGCTGGAAACCACAAAACTGCCTTTTTTAAGGCACATGTATGGATGTGCCCTTTTTAGGGCACTTCTGAACTTGGTTAGTAGTACACCACCTCGCTAGCCAAGGGATGTGACAAGTCGATGAATGTAAATTCTTCCTGGTGTTCTTTCGAGAACACTAGGCGTCTGAGAAGTCCCCTTGGGGATAAGTCGGGACGTTAAAGATCCTCATGGGTCTCAACACCCATGAGTAAAGATGGGAACATCTGCCCCTTCCCGAGTCCAAGCAGAATTCTGGTTCAAATATCTTAATCTGCGACTGCACTTTGTTGACCTCAGTACTACTTGAAAATCAAGTTACAAAGCCATTTATGCAAACTTTTCAAATGTACTTCTGAATAAATATAAATTCTACTAGATAGAATAAATAGATTGGCTATTGTAATCCTTAGTAACAAGAAATATTTTCAAGGATATTGGACAATGAAGAAATAATCCTAATAAAGAGTAGATTCACTACTCACTACTATATGACCAAATATTAACCACTGAAGACTCGAGATGGTTACTCAAACTTCTAACAGCAATAATAAAAACACGGATTCCCATTAGTGATGAATATTAAACACCTAACTTGCCCTATGACATTACAAATGTAAACATGAGCATGATAATATATATTAACATGTTTGATAAAATAGTAATCCTCTTTCTAACGTATAAAAACCAATATTGGTTCAACTCCTTGACGTATTACATCCATTATCGGCTTTTGCTGCAGGGTAAGTCAATCGAATAAAATAAATATTTCATAACTCACAGTCCTGTACTGAATAATCCATAAGGAAACGTTTTTAAAAAATATTGATGATCGTTTTATAAATTAATTTCTATCCATATCCATCCTGACAGACTTCCAGAGTCGTTATTAAACGTACAAAATGAATGTAATTTTTTTTTACGAGGATTCGCAACATCAGAGGTCATATCAACACTCAGGGTGCCGGTGTTTTGGAAAAAAAGCCCATTGTTAAGATGTCGGGTTCGAATGCAGGGTCGCTGGATTCGAACCCGGGACCTTTACCTTACAGTGATGAGCGCCGTGTGAACGCTAAACCGTTGCGACCACCGACGCCCGTTTGAGAGTTGTTAGAGTAGTGTTAGTATAGAAGAACGTTCGGCCAAGAAAACAGCGAGTATAGACGGACCAGAAGTGCTTGCACTTCCAAATCATTTTCATTTTTCTGCTATCGCATGGTTATAATAGAGTTGAATTTGGATAAATTCCCAAAGAGAAAAAAAACATTTTTAAATTACCTGACATCGACAAGAAAGCATTTTTTGGTAAAATTGCTTAAAATATTGTTTTCCTCGGTTCCTAGAGCTCATTTGCAAGAACGCTAGAAAGTCCAATATTATTCGATCTGGTATCACCAAAAAAGTTGTATTAAAATCGGCGACTCGGCCACCTGTGGTTCTCCTTGTCAGATTGTACGTTCCGTTCTGTTTTTATGTTCGTAGTTTTCTTTTGGGAATATGTAGTATTTTTCTTTCGTCTGAGTGAAAGCAGCCAAACTAGACATAGGTCATTTTTTATAGGTTGGAATGTTTTGCTCTTATTTGAGAGGTCTGTATGTGTTTAGGTGTCTCTTATCCAGTTAACAGCTGGGTTCGACATAAGTCGTAGGTGTTTGTTTTTTTAGCTAGTTATTTTTTCTTTACACCCAAGTAATCATTTGGTTATTGGTGGCTATCCAAAAATGGAACAGGGTGAATATCTGTTTTTACAAGTTTCTAACCAGTATATCATTTGTAACAGGTACCATATCGACTACTAGAAAATTACAAATGGAGTCTTCGATCCTTTTTAGTTTGGATAAGACAAAACTTATAAATATAAACAGCTCAACAATTCATTACAATTGTTTCATTCAAACGTTCAATTTGTGGAGAGGTTCGCAAGGTGTTGAATACCTATTGAATTAAGTTTGATCAAGAAAACTGTGAGAATAGACGGTCCAGATTCCAAGTCATTTTATTTCCTTTTTTAATTTAAAACAGGCAGTTGTATATAAAAAGGAAAGCGGCAATTTTGTGGTTGATCAGGATTGAAGGCACATGTACATTTTGTTAAACACAACAAAGTCAGACTATTCAAAAATAATGTCGGGAAACTTTACTTTTTCATCTCGAAACCAGGTTAACGTAAGATTAAATAATAAATTTAGTAGAGAAAATGTCTTAAGAATCGGAGCTGGCGACCAGCTTCAGAACCAACAAACTCGCCTCTTCGAGAAAAAAGCGAGAATGGCCAGGCACGATCTATCACATAAAATGAAACTACTTCTACTTCACCTCATCTTATTTCATTAAATATTTTACACGTTTATCAGCCAATCAAGAAAACAAGTTCCGAGCATCATGATAAAATGTAAACCGTAAATTATTTTAATAAATTTACGGAAGATTAATATTTTTGATCGCGTGGAAACACCTTAACATATGTTCATTATTCAAAGGCCAAATGTTATTTGCTTTAAAACAAAATTTTACTTTAGTATTTAATAATTTTTGTACAGAGCGCAAAATGTACTTTATTTGAATGTTTGTTTCACTTTTAATAAGGACGAAAGTATATGTAGATAATAATTTGTCTTCATTCAACACTTTCTCTTTTTGTTATACGTTTAGCTAGGTCTTAACAACTTCTCGTTATTTATAATTTTATTAGGTTTCGGGGACCGCTTGACCAAATAAATTGTTTTCAATTAATTAAAGTTTTGGTTGAGATAAAAAGTCAGTTTCACGAGCGAGATTCGAACCCACGACCTTCGGCTTGATACGCAGCTGCTCTACCACTTGAGCTATCGTGACCTCTATCGACTCGGACACTAACTTCCCATCTCAACCCCACAATTTGAATTTTCCCTCCTTTTTGCCATTTTTCAGCTAAAAACTCTTTTTTTATCTCAACTAAAAACCTTAATTAATTGAAAGATATTAATTGCTCAAGCGGACCACGAAACTTAATAAAATGTAGTAAGCAAAATGAAGTATATTTCACTAAAGCTCTCCGTGGCCATTTCACTTGTCGCCGAGGATCAAATTGATTACACGACATTTGACAAATGGCAAAAAGGAGGGAAAATTCAAATTGTGGGGTTGAGATGGGAAGTTAGTGTCCGAGTGGTCGAAGACACGATAGCTCAAATGGTAGAGCAGCGGCGTATTTAGCCGAAGGTCGTGGGTTCGAATCCCGCTCCTTACACTGACTTTTTATCTCAACCAAAACCTTAATTAATTGAAAAGTTATTTATAATAACCAATAATAATTTATCAAATCTTTCATGCATCTTACAGTCTGCATGAGCGTTCACCATCTGCGGAATGTTTAAGTTAATGGTAAACAACCGATTGTCCCTTTGCTACAGACATGAAAAGAGATGTGTTGGTTTTCTTTAAAATTTCGTCGTGAGTTAGAAAGTGAAAAGGCGTCCTCTTCACATTGAACATTTCCGGTCGTGATCCATCAACTGACGAGGCAGGTGGAAAGTACCGAAGTGAATTAAAACAGAAAACTGATTGAAAGGGCTTATTCAATATCCAAAAACTTCAGAGATCCATTAAAGCGAAAAATAAGCTGTATTAAAATATTGATAGAACCATCAATTGCATTATATATTTTATTGATCGGCCGCTTTCAGAAATTCTCGTTTAAATTTTTTTCTGGAACTCTTTCTTATTCATTTCTTCATTTGGACCAAAATTATTT